AAGGTCCAAAAGTCTATAAACAGACGGTACTACCACAAAAATTCAGACCAAAAGCCCCATCATTAGCACATGATTCCATCTTCTCTGGGCACATGGGAATAACAAAAACCAAGAAGAGGATTCTATCTACATTTTATTGGCCTGGGTTTTCTAAAGATGTAAAAAATTATGTTCGATCTTGTGATACCTGTGCTAAAACCACAAAAAAAGGAGAGAACCCAAAGGCTCCAGTGCAAATAGGTCTGATAGCATCAAGACCATTTGAACAAGTTGCAATTGATATTGTTGGCCCATTACCAGTGACGTCAGCAAAGGGAAACAGGTTTATTTTAACTCTTATTGATGTTGCCACAAAATGGCCTGAGTGTGTACCTCTGAAATTTATAACATCAAACGATATTCAGGAGGCACTGTTAACAATTTTTTCAAGGGTGGGTTTTCCAGAAGTTATTATTTCTGATAAAGGTACTCAGTTTACATCTTGGGCTACAAAAGCTTTTAATAATTGGTTAGGAATTAAACAAAATTTCACAACACCGTATCACGCACAAGCAAATGGCTTGGTTGAAAATTTAAATAAATCCATAAAAACAATGCTTGCCAGAATATCGTTTGAACATCCGCAGTCATGGGATACTTTATTACCTGCCATTATGTTTGCATATAGAGAAATTCCTCATAGCTCAACAGGTTTTTCGCCATTTGAACTTGTATATGGGGCAAATCCTCGAGGACCATTGCAGCTATATAATAAGCTTATCACAGGAAAAACAGAAACGGATACAGAAAAATCAGCTTATGAATCAGTAACAGATCTGAGAAATAAAATAATGATTGCTTGTCAACAAGCAAACGAAACAATGAAAGAGGCCAGTCTAAAACAGCGACAGTATGCGAATAGAATAGCAAGACTTGTGAAATATAACACTGGTGATGAAGTGTTATTACTGTTACCAAAGAAGTCAGACAAATTATGTATAGAATGGTCAGGTCCTTTTGTTGTTACAAGAAAGATTTCTGATGTTGATTATGAAATCAAAATTGATGAAAAGCTAAAAAAAATTTCATGTAAACATGCTTAAACCATATTTTAGAAGATCACTATTGATGTCAGATGATGATGTACTTGATGCAAATTTATGTAATGTAATTAATGAAGATTTACCTGATGTTATAGAAGAAGATATTCCAACACCATCAACAAAGAATGAAGTCAACTGGAAATCGATAAAGTTAAATGAAGAACTATCAGAAAATGAAAAAGCAAAATTGTGGAGCATCATTTTTCATTACAAAGATATTTTCACAAATAAACCTGGGAAAACTAACATAATCAGTTACGATATCCAGTTGAATTCATCAGTGCCAGTGAAATCAAAACCATATGTAATACCTATCCATTATATCGATAAGGTTATATCAGAATTGCAACAACTACAACAAGAAGGAATCATTGAAGATTCCACATCAAACTACAGTTCGCCTTTAGTCGTAGTAAAGAAAAAAGATGGTTCACTACGTTTGTGTGTTGATTATAGGAAACTAAACCAAATTACCTATTTAGAAACTGAGCCCATCCCTTCGTCAGATGAAATCATACAAGAATTATACAACTCAAAATTTTTTACAAAAATTGACCTTTCAAAAGGCTACTGGCAAATACCACTAATACCAGAAGCTGTAAAATATACTAGCTTTCAAACTCCAATTGGACTCAAACGATGGTTGCGTTTACCATTTGGTTTAATAAACGCTCCAAAAATTTTCAAAAAAATGGTTAGGAAACTGTTATATGCAATTCCTCACGTCACAGCATACATGGATGACATCTGTATACACACCAAAACATTGCATGACCACTGCACTACCCTACAAAAAGTCCTATCAAGAATAAATGACGCAAAATTGACAGTGAATCCTTTAAAAACTGAAATTGCATACACCAAAATTGATTACTTAGGACATGTTATATGCGAAGGTTTAGTCCAGACAGATGAAAATATTGTTTCGAAAATTTTGAAGATCCAAAAACCTAAAACTAAAAAGCAGCTCCAATCTCTACTAGGGTTAATAAACTATTATGGTAAATTCATCCCAAACTTAGCAGCACTAATATCACCACTATCAGAGTTATTAAAGAATCAACAATTGAAAAAATCAGATTGGAATGAAACACATGAGGAAATTCTAGTTAAAATAAAAAATTGTTTTTCAAAATATCCCATTTTGAGACAACCTGACCCTTCCAAAAGATTTTTTCTACAATCAGATGCCAGCGGTCACACAATAGCTAGTATGCTTGCGCAGAAACATTCACAAACATTACTCCCAGTAATGTATATGTCACAGAAACTTAACCAAACTCAACAAAAATACAATACATTTGAACGAGAAGCGTTGGCACTAGTTATTCGTCTAAAAAAGTTTCAGAAGTTTCTTTTGGGAAAAGAATTCACTATTTTAACAGATAACTTGGGGTTGACAAAATTATTGACAATTGATGCCAATAGCAATCCAAGGGTATATAGATGGGCATTGTTGATATCACAATTCAAATTTAACATTGAACACATCAAAGGAACAGACAATCATTTACCAGATATCATGTCACGTTTGTAGAATATGTTGCAACTGCTATTACAACTTGTATTAACTGAAATCATTTTATGCATTGTATTATTGTATGAATGTATTATATGAATTTACAATTAGGAAAAATGTATGTTTTGATTTGAACGGGTATAATATAGGAAACAATTAGAATTAAAGGGAGACAACATTCAGGGTTAAAATACACCTCACCAGAAAATGTTACATTTACTAGTATACTAAATTGAATTGGTGTAGCATTTAATTTGAATATGTGTGTTAATGAGACATGTTGTAGTTTCTGAAGACAAGGTAATTAACTACATCTTGTACCTTACATATTTGGGAGCAAAACCATACATTGCTGATTTAGCCATTGTTGAGGGCTTTCATGAATGGGAATAGCGAGGGTGGGACTTCATGGGGTCACATTTCAGTTTTAGAGCCAAGATTTTGGACTTCCGCACCGATCGGGGGGGTGCCTGGAGAGGGGTTCGGTTGTATACCGACTTTAGAACTGGGTGGGGATACCTATGGAGCCAGATTATTGGTCTTCCGCACTAAAAGGGGAGTGCCTGGGGTGAGGATCCCATTAAGGTATTCACAGTCGTGCAAAGAACCAACAGATGACATTTTAGAGTGTTTGAATTGTTAACCTAATGAGGTAAAGAGAACTTGGTTGTAAATGAACTTGTCGAAAATGATTCACTACAAAGGTCTAGAATCACCATGTTCAGTGAAATGTTCACACCTGATTGATTGAAAATGTAAAACATTTTTTTGGGGTGGGGGAGAATGTAGCGAGTCATTTTCTTCCCATTAATTCATGCCCGATAGATGACGTCAGTAATAAATGTAAGACGAATGTTTTGACTGACTGAGATAACACGAGATTTATGTCTAGAGTTTCATGAGAGACATCTGAAAGTCAGGTTTTATGTGAAACATGATTGTTCACGTGAACCATGAAGGTTGACTGGCAGGATTCGTGTGAAATGCGAATTATCACGGGCCAGACACGACTTTCAGCGGTGGGGAATTCGTGAGAATGAAATTATCCAGAATATTTGAGAACATGACAGATCAGAGGGCTATATAATAGCGAAGAAAGGTTTGTGAGGGGGTCTCGTTTAGGCCAAGGGAAGGTGTAAGTGTGAGAAGTCCGGAAGAATGTTGTCTGAATAGCGTGATTTCCCAATGCCTACCTGGCATAAAATAGCGGCTGACGGAAATGGTGGCCAGCTGTGAATGACTGTCGTCTGGATGGAGGGAATTACTGTGTTTCGCTAAGTTGTGTGATGAATTCTACGATGTTACAAAGGTATGATTGACTGTTTACAGCATTGAATAAGTAATCGACATTTACTGACTGCAACATCAGCGAGTGAAAATAAACGGTACGTGTAACTTCTGAACGTCTGCCAGCGTCCATGTTTTCTCGTTCTTGTAAGTCGGTGAATGGAAGGATGCGGTGACTCATTCGAGCCAGAAATTAATATCAATGAAGATCACTGCATGCTCCAACAGCCTAGACCACATATAGCCCGTCATACATCACTCAATGGTGCAGAACTAGCCAGTTGGTCTGCAGGTTCCTTTCCCAACATACCTGCATAACCTAAAGAAAATATCAAAATGACACTAAGAACTGGGGACCTCTGAAACAACGCTTGCCAATGTGGAGCATGCCTTTCTCCACCTGTCTCAGCCTTTCTCCACCTGTCTCAGCCTTTCTCCACCTGTCTCAACCTTTTTCCACCTGTCTCAGCCTTTCTCCACCTGTCTCAGCCTTTCTCCACCTGTCTCAGCCTTTCTCCACCTGTCTCAGCCTTTCTCCACCTGTCTCAGGCTTTCTCCCCCATTCTTAGCACGCTCTGTGAGCCTGTTACAATGATTATCACGCAACAACAAAAACAACACATACACATTTAGACGAATTAATATTCAAGATATTAAAATATAAATAAGAGCCATAAAACTACAGACTTCAAGCTTACCTGCCACAACAGACATGATGTCAAACAATGTACAAAACAAGAAGTCCACCTGTGGTAACATCAACTCACCTGCCACAACAGACATGATGTCAAACAATGTACAAAACAAGAAGTCCACCTGTGGTAACATCAACTCACCTGCCACAACAGACATGATGTCAAACAATGTACAAAACAAGAAGTCCACCTGTGGTAACATCAACTCACCTGACACAACAGACATGATGTCAAACAATGTACAAAACAAGAAGTCCACCTGTGGTAACATCAACTCACCTGACACAACAGACATGATGTCAAACAATGTACAAAACAAGAAGTCCACCTGTGGTAACACTAACTCACCTGACACAACAGACATGATGTCAAACAATGTACAAAACAAGAAGTCCACCTGTGGTAACATCAACTCACCTGACATCCACCGGCAATGACCCTACATAATAACCCAGTGGGGTCAACTCCTGTCAATACAGAAAAACAAATATTTTTAGTTGTGTACAATTATCTGGTGTCCATATTCGATAAATAAATAAACAGCTGTATTAACAAATACAGATCTGTGGCTGAACAAATACAAATCTGTGACTGAACAAATACAAATCTGTGGCTGAACAAAAACAGATCTGTGGCTGAACAAAAACAGATCTGTGGCTGAACAAATACAGATCTGTGGCTGAACAAATACAGATCCGTGGCTGAACAAATACAGATCTGTGGCTAAACAAATACAGATCTGTGGCTGAACAAATACAGGTCTGTGGCTGAACAAATACAGATCTGTGGTTGAACAAATACAGATCTGTGGCTGAACAAATACAGATTTGTGGCTGAACAAATACAGATCTGTGGCTGAACAAATATAGATCTGTGGCTGACAGACTTAGCACCAGCAGCAGCCTGAGACTAGAACACATCTGGTTTATCTATGTGTGAAAAAACACAAACACAAATAAATGTTGATCCAAAGTGTTTAACAACAACAGGATGAACTTCAGTGTACTAGGTTGTATCTCTTCAGTGTACTAGGTTGTATCTCTTCAGTGTACTAGGTTGTATCTCTTCAGTGTACTAGGTTGTATCTCTTCAGTGTACTAGGTTGTATCTCTTCAGGTTCAGTCTCACTCCACAGAGCAGCAGTTCACTTGCTGGGAGTGTTATACAAAGTACCCAAAAGAGTCAACACAAAGTAGACAAGGATGTCAACACAAAGTAGACAAGGATGACAACACAAAGTAGACAAGGATGTCAACACAAAGTCAACAAGGATGTCAACACAAAGTAGACATGGATGTCAACACAAAGTGGGCAAGGATGTCAACACAAAGTGGGCAAGGATGTCAACACAAAGTGGACAAAGATGTCAACACAAAGTAGACAAGGATGTCAACACAGAGTAGACAAGGATGTCAACACAAAGTAGACAAGGATGTCAACACAAAGTAGACAAGGATGTCAACACAAAGTAGACATGGATGTCAACACAAAGTGGGCAAGGATGTCAACACAAAGTGGGCAAAGATGTCAACACAAAGTAGACAAGGATGTCAACACAAAGTGAGCAAGGATGTCAACACAAAGTAGACAAGGATGTCAACACAAAGTGGGCAAGGATGTCAACACAAAGTGGGCAAAGATGTCAACACAAAGTAGACATGGATGTCAACACAAAGTGGGCAAGGATGTCAACACAAAGTAGACAAGGATGTCAACACAAAGTGGGCAAGGATGTCAACACAAAGTGGGCAAGGATGTCAACACAAAGTAGACAAGGATGTCAACACAAAGTAGATATGGATGTCAACACAAAGTGGGCAAGGATGTCAACACAAAGTGGGCAAGGATGTCAACACAAAGTGGGCAAAGATGTCAACACAAAGTGGGCAAGGATGTCAACACAAAGTAGACAAGGATGTAAACACAAAGTGGACAAGGATGTCAACACAAAGTGGACAAAGATGTCAACACAAAGTAGACAAGGATGTCAACACAAAGTAGACAAGGATGTCAACACAAAGTAGACAAGGATGTCAACACAAAGTAGACAAGGATGTCAACACAAAGTAGACATGGATGTCAACACAAAGTAGACAAGGATGTCAACACAAAGTAGACAAGGATGTCAACACAAAGTAGACAAGGATGTCAACACAAAGTGGACAAAGATGTCAACACAAAGTAGACAAGGGTGTCAACACAGAGTAGACAAGGATGTCAACACAAAGTAGACAAGGATGTCAAACACAAAGTAGACAAGGATGTCAACACAAAGTGGGCAAGGATGTCAACACAAAGTAGACAAGGATGTCAACACAAAGTGAGCAAGGATGTCAACACAAAGTAGACAAGGATGTCAACACAAAGTGAGCAAGGATGTCAACACAAAGTAGACAAGGATGCCAACGCAAAGTAGACAAGGATGTCAGCACAAAGTAGACAAGGATGTCAATTCAAAGTGGACAAGGATGTCAACACAAAGTGGGCAAGGATGTCAACACAAAGTGGGCAAAGATGTCAACACAACGTAGACAAGGATGTCAACACAAAGTGGGCAAGGGTGTCAACACAAAGTGGGCAAGGATGTCAACACAAAGTGGGCAAAGATGTCAACACAAAGTAGACAAGGGTGTCAACACAGAGTAGACAAGGATGTCAACACAAAGTAGACAAGGATGTCAAACACAAAGTAGACAAGGATGTCAAACACAAAGTGGGCAAGGATGTCAACACAAAGTAGACAAGGATGTCAACACAAAGTGAGCAAGGATGTCAACACAAAGTAGACAAGGATGTCAACACAAAGTAGATATGGATGTCAACACAAAGTAGACAAGGATGTCAACACAAAGTGAGCAAGGATGTCAACACAAAGTAGACAAGGGTGTCAACACAAAGTGGGCAAGGATGTCAACACAAAGTGGGCAAAGATGTCAACACAAAGTAGACATGGATGTCAACACAAAGTGGGCAAGGATGTCAACACAAAGTAGACAAGGATGTCAACACAAAGTGGGCAAGGATGTCAACACAAAGTGGGCAAGGATGTCAACACAAAGTAGACAAGGATGTCAACACAAAGTAGATATGGATGTCAACACAAAGTGGGCAAGGATGTCAACACAAAGTAGACAAGGATGTCAACACAAAGTGGACAAGGATGTCAACACAAAGTGGACAAAGATGTCAACACAAAGTAGACAAGGATGTCAACACAAAGTAGACAAGGATGTCAACACAAAGTAGACAAGGATGTCAACACAAAGTAGACAAGGATGTCAACACAAAGTAGACAAGGATGTCAACACAAAGTAGACAAGGATGTCAACACAAAGTAGACAAGGATGTCAACAAAAGTGGACAAAGATGTCAACACAAAGTAGACAAGGGTGTCAACACAGAGTAGACAAGGATGTCAACACAAAGTAGACAAGGATGTCAAACACAAAGTAGACAAGGATGTCAACACAAAGTGGGCAAGGATGTCAACACAAAGTAGACAAGGATGTCAACACAAAGTGAGCAAGGATGTCAACACAAAGTAGACAAGGATGTCAACACAAAGTGAGCAAGGATGTCAACACAAAGTAGACAAGGATGCCAACGCAAAGTAGACAAGGATGTCAACACAAAGTAGACAAGGATGTCAAACACAAAGTAGACAAGGATGTCAAACACAAAGTGGGCAAGGATGTCAACACAAAGTAGACAAGGATGTCAACACAAAGTGAGCAAGGATGTCAACACAAAGTAGACAAGGATGTCAACACAAAGTAAGCAAGGATGTCAACACAAAGTGAGCAAGGATGTCAACACAAAGTAGACAAGGATGTCAACACAAAGTAGACAAGGATGTCAGCACAAAGTAGACAAGGATGTCAATTCAAAGTGGGCAAGGATGTCAACACAAAGTGGGCAAGGGTGTCAACACAAAGTGGGCAAGGATGTCAACACAAAGTGGGCAAAGATGTCAACACAAAGTAGACAAGGGTGTCAACACAGAGTAGACAAGGATGTCAACACAAAGTAGACAAGGATGTCAAACACAAAGTAGACAAGGATGTCAAACACAAAGTGGGCAAGGATGTCAACACAAAGTAGACAAGGATGTCAACACAAAGTGAGCAAGGATGTCAACACAAAGTAGACAAGGATGTCAACACAAAGTAGACAAGGGTGTCAACACAGAGTAGACAAGGATGTCAACACAAAGTAGACAAGGATGTCAAACACAAAGTAGACAAGGATGTCAACACAAAGTGGGCAAGGATGTCAACACAAAGTAGACAAGGATGTCAACACAAAGTGAGCAAGGATGTCAACACAAAGTAGACAAGGGTGTCAACACAAAGTGAGCAAGGATGTCAACACAAAGTAGACAAGGATGCCAACGCAAAGTAGACAAGGATGTCAGCACAAAGTAGACAAGGATGTCAATTCAAAGTGGGCAAGGATGTCAACACAAAGTGGACAAGGATGTCAACACAAAGTGGGCAAGGATGTCAACACAAAGTGGGCAAAGATGTCAACACAACGTAGACAAGGATGTCAACACAAAGTGGGCAAGGGTGTCAACACAAAGTGGGCAAGGATGTCAACACAAAGTGGGCAAAGATGTCAACACAAAGTAGACAAGGGTGTCAACACAGAGTAGACAAGGATGTCAACACAAAGTAGACAAGGATGTCAAACACAAAGTAGACAAGGATGTCAAACACAAAGTGGGCAAGGATGTCAACACAAAGTAGACAAGGATGTCAACACAAAGTGAGCAAGGATGTCAACACAAAGTAGACAAGGATGTCAACACAAAGTAAGCAAGGATGTCAACACAAAGTGAGCAAGGATGTCAACACAAAGTAGACAAGGATGTCAACACAAAGTAGACAAGGATGTCAGCACAAAGTAGACAAGGATGTCAATTCAAAGTGGGCAAGGATGTCAACACAAAGTGGGCAAGGATGTCAACACAAAGTGGGCAAAGATGTCAACACAAAGTGGGCAAGGATGTCAACACAAAGTAGACAAGGATGTCAGCACAAAGTAGACAAGGATGTCAATTCAAAGTGGGCAAGGATGTCAGCACAAAGTAGACAAGGATGTCAATTCAAAGTGGGCAAGGATGTCAACACAAAGTGGGCAAGGATGTCAACACAGAGTAGACAAGGATGTCAACACAAAGTAGACAAGGATATCAACACAAAGTGAGCAAGGATGTCAACACAAAGTGGGCAAGGATGTCAACACAGAGTAGACAAGGATGTCAACACAAAGTAGACAAGGATGTCAACACAAAGTAGACAAGGATGTCAACAAAAAGTGAGCAAGGATGTCAACACAGAGTAGACAAGGATGTCAACACAAAGCTTACTAGGCGCAGAGTCTTACATGGAATCTTTAAAGTCCGAAGCAGGTTTCTCTGTCACAGAGACCCCTGATGATCTGTTGTTATTACCACTGAACCAACATAAGAACACAAATAAGACTACACTATAGGTGAAGCAAACACAGCACACAGAAGATCTGTGTAACACAGGAAATCATCATAGCACACAGATCTTTGTAACATGGGAAACCATCACAGCACACAGAAGATCTGTGTAACACAGGAAATCATCATAGCACACAGATCTGTGTAACATGGAAAACCATCACAGCACACAGAAGATCTGTGTAACACAGGAAATCATCATAGCACACAGATCTGTGTAACATGGAAAACCATCACAGCACACAGAAGATCTGTGTAACATGGGAAATTAACAATAGCTATGATTATCACAAAGTATCATTAATGATGACAACAAACAACTAACCACACTAGCATCCAGGGCTCCGAGGTCGGACAGACGTCTGACTGCTCCATTTATGGCCTCAGCTGAAGGTGGCTCTATGAGTTTTTCTAAGACAGCCTGCAGCAGGAGATGAGTTAATTCTTCTACCAGAATTAGTGTTACAGCAAATTTGACAATTATTGTCTTTTGTCAGATATAATGAGCTTAGCTCAATTAGGACAGTTTTATGTTGCATAACAAATGTTAAACATTTAGACTTCACAGTCAATTAGGCAACTTCTTAGTTATATCTTGTGTATTTTAGGCCCTCTACTAGACCCCACCTTGTCTACCAGTCTTGGATTCAAATCCACACCGAAGCAGATTAAACAGAAAAAGAAAGAAAAGAAAAAAAAAACCTTTAGTTCCCAGTTGACAAAGTCTAAACTGGGTACCAGGGTGTGTCCTTGGAAGTAAAGGTGGCCAACATGACACTGACCACATAACTCACCAAGGACTGACGGATCTATAAAAATATGAACCAAGCATCATGTATCCAGTGTGTCAGTGGCGTAAAAAAGGCTTCTTGACTTTTACTGACAAGACCCGCCAAGACACTACAGTTCTTTCTTTCTCTCATTCTAACTGCCATTGTCTATCAATTTCTTCTCCACATGTTTGGGGTGTCTGTCTATTTCTTTTGTCTGGAACCTAAGGGCACAAAAACTGCCCCCCCCCAACCCACCTCAGACACCACCCCGCTCAGACACCACCCGTCTCACCGGCTCAGACACCACCCATCTCACCGGCTCAGACACCACCCATCTCACCGGCTCAGACACCACCCTGCTCAGACACCACCCGTCTCAACAGCTCAGACACCACCCATCTCACCAGCTCAGACACCACCTGTCTCACCGGTTTAGACACCACCTGGCTCAGACACCACCCGGCTCACCGGTTCAGACACCACCCGGCTCAGACACCACCCGGCTCAGACACCACCCGTCTCACCGGTTCAGACACCACCCGTCTCACCGGTTCAGACACCACCCGGCTCAGACACCACCCGGCTCAGACACCACTGCCTGAGGAAGGAATGTCCAGATTAACTATCAACTGATCTTAATGTTGTCCATCTTGTGCTGCATCCTCTCATCATCCTTTTAATCAGTAACTGCCCTTGTTCTCTTTACTAGATCCACAATGGTGATTCTCTAATGCCATGCAAGTCTTCCCACTCTACTGAATCTCTTGTCTTATACAAGTCTGCCATTTTTTATTTGTGTCACTCCATGTCTCTGATCCATACAGCAGTACAAATTTAATATTAGTTACAGTATTTGGTATTGGTGTTAATTTGTTTGTTTATTTCCCTACAGCTCTTCACACTCCTGATTGCCTCCCTGTATTATGATTCTGACTCTAAATGTCTCCTCCGTGCGTCGTCAGACCTACACTTTAGCATATGCTGCTCTACTGACTCTAAATGTCTCCTCCGTGCGTCGTCAGACCTACACTTTAGCATATGCTGCTCTACTTGCTGTGCTACTGACTCTAAATGTCTCCTCCCTGCGTAGTCAGACCTACACTTTAGCATATGCTGCTATACTTGCAGTGCTACTGACTCTAAATGTCTCCTCCCTGCGTAGTCAGACCTACACTTTAGCATATGCTGCTCTACTTGCTGTGCTACTGACTTTAAATGTCTCCTCCGTGCGTTGTCAGACCTACACTTAAGCATATGCTGCTATACTTGCTGTGCTACTGACAAGACTGCTGGATTAATTTAACCTCAGGTTTCATCAACAAATTACAAAATAGATACGGTAACTCTGCTTTAGGATGGAGAGAAAAGCGGTGACAGAGATGGCAGCTGGTTTACCTAGTTTCATAGAACTCTCATCTTGTACGTGTGAAAGCATGGAAAGTGACATCTGAGAGTATCTTGTACCCACATCCAGTATATGATATATGTACCTAACATGCTTTACAGATATGACAGTTGTTGGGTGAAAGATGAGTCTTTGAAGGACCACATTTAAGATGGGCCTGCATGCCCAATTTGTGAAACTTTAAAAACAAAATTTGTTTATTCATTCCTAATCAGAGACAGGAGTTGAGAGGAAAGAGGCAACAGAGACAGGAGTTGAGAGGGAAGAGGCAACAGAGACAGGAGTTGAGAGGGAAGAGGCACAAGAGACAGGAGTTGAGAGGGAAGAGGCAACAGAGACAGGAGTTGAGAGGGAAGAGGCACAAGAGACAGGAGTTGAGAGGGAAGAGGCAACAGAGACAGGAGTTGAGAGGAAAGAGGCAACAGAGACAGGAGTTGAGAGGGAATGAGGCAACAGAGACAGGAGAGGAAAGTTGTGATGATTCATATCTCTATACCTCCACTTGCTGCTCCTTGAACAACGGCAACATCTTGATCTTCAGTACTAGCTGTTCCAAGCAAGCTCGCTGGATTTCTGGGGAACATCACCAGCACCAGTGTATGTTAGGATATGACAATGTTAACATTATAAGCACCATTGTATGTTAGGATATGACAATGTTAACATTATAAGCACCATTGTATGTTAGGATATGACAATGTTAACATTACTGGCACCACTGTATGTTAGGATATGACAATGTTAACATTACTGGCACCACTGTATGTTAGGACATGACAATGTTAACATCACTGGCACCAGTGTATGTTAGGATATGACAATGTTAACATTACTGGCACCACTGTATGTTAGGACACGACAATGTTAACATCACTGGCACCAGTTTATGTTAGGATATGACAATGTTAACATTATTAGCACCAGCGAATGTTAGGATATGACAATGTTAACATTACTGGCACCAGTGAATGTTAGGATATGACAATGTTAACATTATTGGCACCACTGTATGTTAGGACATGACAATGTTAACATTACTGGCACCAGTGTATGTTAGGACATGACAATGTTAACATCACTGGCACCAGTGTATGTTAGGATATGACAATGTTAACATCACTGGCACCAGTGTATGTTAGGATATGACAATGTTAACATCACTGGCACCAGTGTATGTTAGGATATGACAATGTTAACATTATTAGCACCATTGTATGTTAGGACATGACAATGTTAACATTATTAGCACCATTGTATGTTAGGACATGACAATGTTAACATTATTAGCACCATTGTATGTTAGGACATGACAATGTTAACATTACTGGCACCAGTGTATGTTAGGATATGACAATGTTAACATCACTGGCACCAGTGTATGTTAGGATATGACAATGTTAACATTATTAGCACCATTGTATGTTAGGACATGACAATGTTAACATTATTAGCACCATTGTATGTTAGGACATGACAATGTTAACATTATTAGCACCATTGTATGTTAGGACATGACAATGTTAACATTACTGGCACCAGTGTATGTTAACATTAACATTAGCACCATTGTATGTTAGGACATGACAATGTTAACATTATTAGCACCAGTGTATATTAGGACATGACAATGTTAACATTATTAGCACCATTGTATGTTAGGACATGATAAAGTTAAGATCACTGCCACCAGGGGCGCTGAGTGGTCTCGAGGCATGGCACCCAGCTCGAGTGCTGGAGGTCTCAGGTTCAAGCCCCACTGAAGGCTGTAATTTTTTCATGTGGTACTTCTGGTAATTTTCCCTGGTCTCTAGTAAGATTGGAGGCTGGTGTGTTTTGTTGCACACGTAAAAAAATCCGTGCCCGGGCAAACATTTGGGGTTAAAAATCTACCCAAACTATTTCAGGATCCTGACTGGTGCTACTGAGTTCACGCACTACGCTGAGATTCTTCGGAGCCAGGCTTGAGTTAGAGTTATAATGGAGTACTTATGGGTTACTACCCTTGTGCCACAATGTTGATTACCTGTCTAAACCATTGACACCAGTGTATGTCAGGATATAAGAACATTAACATAACATCATTTGCAATAAACTACACAAGGTCAGAGAGAGCTGTGTCGACACACAGCTAAGAACACACCTGCAAACCTAGACAATCTTAGCTTTCAATCCTCATACACACATATTTTTTGTTGTTGAAAACCGACCAAGCACCAAACAAATGTCCTACCACTCACCTGGTGCACACCGTCCAAATACTGACCTGGTGCATGCTGCCCCAAACCAACACTGACCTGGTGCACACTGTCCTACCATTGACCTGGTGCATGCTGCCCCAAACCAACACTGACCTGGTCACACTGTCCCAACACTGACCTGGTGCATGCTGTCCCAACACTGACCTGGTGCACACTGTCCTAACACTGACCTGGTGCACACTGTCTTAACACTGACCTGGTGCATGCTGTCCTAACACTGACCTGGTGCACACTGTCTTAACACTGACCTGGTGCATGCTGTCCTAACACTGACCTGGTGCACACTGTCCTAACACTGATCTGGTGCACATGTCCTAACACTGACCTGGTGCACACTGTCCTAACACTGACCTGGTGCACACTGTCCTAACACTGACATCATCACACTGTCCCAACCCAACACTGACCTTTGTGCATACTGTCCCAACACTGACCTGGTACACACTGTCCTAATCCAACCCTGACCTGGTGCATACTGTCCCAACACTGACCTGGTACACACTGTCCCAACCCAACACTGACCTGGTGCACACTGTCTTAACCCAACACTGACCTGGTACACACTGTCCCAACATTGACCTGGTGCACACTGTCCCAACACTGACCTGGTATCGGTTGATCCCTCAGGTGAAAGTTGAAATGATGGGAGGTGAACAGATGGAAACAGAATCCTTCCCGTACTCTTCCAGCTCGACCTTTCCTCTGTACAGCATTAGCCTTGGACACCCAGACAGTCTCCAGGCTCTCCATGCTCTTGGCCTGGTCATAGCTGTAACACAGTCAGACAAATCATAATACTACAGACACCCAGACAGTCTCCAGGCTCTTAGCCTGGTCATAGCTGTAACACAGTCAGACAAATCATAATACTACAGACAGACAGATACACTGAGAAATATTACACAGTTGAAAATTATAGTAGTATTGAGCGACAGATACATTGAGAAATATAACACAGTCTAAAATTATAGTAGTACGGAGCAATAGATACACTGAGAAATATAACACAGTCTAAAATTATAGTTGTACGGAGCAATAGATACACTGAGAAATATAACACAGTCTAAAATTATAGTTGTACGGAGCAATAGATACACTGAGAAATATAACACAGTTGAAAATTATAGTAGTATTGAGCGACAGATACATTGAGAAATATAACACAGTCTAAAATTATAGTAATACGGAGCAATAGATACACTGAGAAATATAACACAGTCTAAATTTATAGTAGTATGGAGCAATAGATACACTGAGAAATATAACACAGTCCAAAATTATAGTAGTAAGGGGCGACAGATACACTGAGAAATATAACACAGTTGAAAATTATAGTAGTACAGAGCAATAGATACACTGAGAAATATAACAAAGTCCAAAATTATAGTAGTAAGGGGCGACAGATGATACACTGAGAAATATAACACAGTTGAAAATATAGTAGTAAGGGGCGACAGATACACTGAAAAATATAACACAGTTGAAAATTATAGTAGTACGGGGCGACAGATACACTGAAAAATATAACACAGTTGAAAATTATAGTAGTACGTAGTGACAGCCACACTGAGAAATATAACACAGTTGAAAATTATAGTAGTACGGAGCGACAGATACACTAAAAATATAACAGTCGACAATTATGGTAGAATGGAGTGACAGATACACTGAGAAATATAACAGTCAGAAATTATTATACTACGGAGAGACAGGTACACTGAGAAATAAAACACAGTTAGAAATTATAATACTACGGAGAGACAGGTACACTGAGAAATAAAACAGTCAGAAATTATAATACTACGGAGAGACAGGTACACTGAGAAATAAAACAGTCAGAAATTGTAATACTACAGACAGACACACTGAGAAATAAAACACAGTCAGAAATTGTAATACTACAGACAGACACACTGAGAAATAAAACACAGTAAGAAATTATAATACTACGGAGAGACAGATACACTGAGAAATAAAACACAGTAAGAAATTATAATACTACGGAGAGACAGATACACTGAGAAATAAAACAGTCAGAAATTATAATACTACGGAGAGACAGGTACACTGAGAAATAAAACAGTCAGAAATTATAATACTACGGAGAGACAGGTACACTGAGAAATAAAACAGTCAGAAATTATAATACTACGGAGAGACAGATAGACTGAGAAATATAACAGTCAGGTGTCTGACTGGATGACTTCTAGTGTCACTGACAACAACTGTGATGTCTCTGTCAGGTGTCTGTCTGGATGACTTCTAGTATCACTGACAACAACTGTGATGTCTCTGTCAGGTGTCTGTCTGGATGACTTCTAGTATCACTGACAACAACTGTGATGTCTCTGGCTAGATGATCCGGATTAACCCTTTGATCCAACAGCTGCTATCAAGTGTATCTCTAGCTGTAGAAGAAGAGACTGGAAGCTTTCTCCACCAAGCGGACAACAAGATGTGCTCACTCACCGCTTCTCCTTCATCCTGCCAGCATCGATCACATACACAATGTCGTCGATGGTGATGGAGGTCTCAGCGATGTTGGTGGCGATCACAATCTTCACAATGTCCTCTCTTGCTTTCCTGGGAGACATAGAATCAAGAGATACTGAATGACAGAAGTGATCCATGGAAGAGAAGAGGAGCTGTTGTACAGGTGTGGGTGTCAGCAGCTCAATCCTTAATTGAGGTAATGAACGGTTTTATCAGGCATCCGATTTCGATTCTCTCGGCCACACACGATATTCCTTTGATTCACTAGACTCCATACTCTCCTGATATGGCCACAGGAGACTGAACTGGCTAAGACTGATAAAATAAAGGAGCATGGCTTTGTGTTTTTCCCTAGATCACTGGGGTGAAAGGGTTAACAAAAAAAAAAAAAAAAAAAATGCAGTGACTGCTGAGGATGGAAAAAAGAATCACAATGCTGAGAGTGAACTATTATTCGGTTCCAGGGCTCTATGTAATTTGAGCCTGATTGACTGCATCAACATACTCAGCTAGCAGCCAGCAAATGAAAACATAATTTCATCTCTCCAGAAATCTGGTACAGACAGGACTATGATTTGCATCCTTGCATCCAGACGTGAGATGGACATGAAGCAGATTAAAGCAGACTTTTAGAGGAGAAATGGACAGACCCTTGGAGATTTTGTCAGAGTATATACTGACCATATATAATTTGCTAGTCGAAAACATTTCTTTATAAAGTTTATGATAGGAGGACAATGGGATGGTCAATATAATGCACATATAACTGCAACAATAAAAGTTAGATACAGAACTGCAACAATGGAAGTTAGATACATAACTGCAACAATGGAAGTTAGATACACAACTGCAACAATGGAAGTTAGATACATAACTAGATACATAACTGCAACAATGGAAGTTAGATATATAACTGCAACAATGGAAGTTAGATACATAACTGCAACAATGGAAGTTAGATACATAACTGCAACAATGGAAGTTAGATATATAATATAACTGCAACAATGGAAGTTAGATACATAACTGCAACAATGGAAGTTGGATACATAACTGCAACAATGGAAGTTAGATACATAACTGCAACAATGGAAGTTAGATACATAACTGCAACAATGGAAGATAGATACATAACTGCAACAATGGAAGTTAGATACATAACTGCAACAATGGAAGTTAGATACACAACTGCAACAATGGAAGTTAGATACACAACTAGATACATAACTGCAACAATGGAAGTTAGATATATAACTGCAACAATGGAAGTTAGATACATAACTGCAACAATGGAAGTTAGATACATAACTGCAACAATGGAAGTTAGATATATAACTGCAACAATGGAAGTTAGATACATAACTGCAACAATGGAAGTTGGATACATAACTGCAACAATGGAAGTTAGATACATAACTGCAACAATGGAAGTTAGATACATAACTGCAACAATGGAAGATAGATACATAACTGCAACAATGGAAGTTAGATACATAACTGCAACAATGGAAGTTAGATACATAACTGCAACAATGGAAGTTAGATACATAACTGCAACAATGGAAGTTAGATACATAACTGCAACAATGGAAGTTAGATACATAACTACAACAATGGAAGATAGATACATAACTGCAACAATGGAAGATAGATACATAACTGCAACAATGGAAGTTAGATACATAACTGCAACAATCAAAGATAATTAGATATAACACAAATAAAAGCTGGTAGATATAAAACATAGTAAAGAGCAGAATGAGTACTCACATAAAGACTGCATTCTGATCCTCCGAAGACAGGGTAGAATGAAGTGGTATTATCTTGTACCTGAAAGTTGCAGAAGAAAACTGAAACCAGTGACTAACAAACTGGGTACAAGGTACACTGAAAACATGACAACATAAGTACAAGCTGAGCAATTAATGTAAGAATACCGATGAGTTCACAATGGCAAAGATGAGCAACATGAAACATATAAGATAATGTCATCACCATAGCTACAATTGAGGCCACTAAAACAATGACAATTTACAACTTAACTCACAATTAGTTAGGAACTTTCGCACTAAGTTAAAAACTCTCATGCCAAGTTAAGAACTCTCATGCTAAATTAAAAACTCTCATGCCAAGTTAAGAACTCTCATGCCAAGTTAAGAACTCTCATGCCAAGTTAAGAACTCTCATGCTAAGTTAAGAACTCTCATGCCAAGTTAAGAACTCTCATGCCAAGTTAAAAATTCTCATGCCAAGTTAAGAACTCTCATGCCAAGTTAAGAACTCTCATGCCAAGTTAAGAACTCTCATGCCAAGTTAAGAACTCTCATGCCAAGTTAAAAACTCTCATGCCAAGTTAAGAACTCTCATGCCAAGTTAAGAACTCTCATGCCAAGTTAAAAACTCTCATGCCAAGTTAAGAACTCTCATGCCAAGTTAAGAACTCTCATGCCAAGTTAAGAACTCTCATGCCAAGTTAAGAACTCTCATGCCAAGTTAAGAACTCTCATGCCAAGTTAAGAACTCTCATGCCAAGTTAAGAACTCTCATGCCAAGTTAAGAACTCTCATGATAAATTAAGAACTCTCATGCCAAGTTAAGAACTCTCATGATAAATTAAGAACTCTCATGCCAAGTTAAGAACTCTCATGATAAATTAAGAACTCTCATGCCAAGTTAAGAACTCTCATGATAAATTAAGAACTCTCATGCCAAGTTAAGAACTCTCATGCTAAATTAAAAACTGTCATGTAAAGTTAAAACCTTTCATGTTAAGAACTTTCATGCCAAGTTAAGAACTTTCATGCCAAGTTAAGAACTTTCATTCCAAGTTAAGAACTCTCATGTCAAGTTAAGAACATTCATGTTGAGTTAAGAACTTTCATGTTAAGAACTCTCACGCCAAGTTCAGATTAACTCTTGTTTATTGTTTTTACTAAATCAAATGTCATTAACTAGCCATATAATCTAATTAACTCTTGTCTATTTAAAAAAAAAAAAAACTATTTTTGGAACACTGGGGCATTGATAATTAACATTATAAATCAATGAGTCAATAAGTGACATGATTACAATTGGGACATTCCCACAAGTGCTCTGTCTCCTTCAACATTCAGTGAAGAGTTCTCATGCTGATTGTGCCAGCTGCAATGTGACTGAAACTGTGCCTTTTGGTAATAAACATTACATCCCAATCAACATCTCTTTATAATGAACAGGAGACTCGCTTTCAAATCCAGCTGCGACTCGCTGCAGCCCACAGCCCGTTCCCGGGGTTCACCCAGCCTCTAGGAAATGGGTACCAGAGCTAACACTCTGGGGTAAATAGAGGAACGTCGCTGTAGCTACGGAGTTGCGTGCGGACGGCAACACACGCAGACAGTTTCTTATCAGCTGTCCGTACTGGTAGCAGAGCACTTATGGTTTATAACCGTGTTCAATGACGCTGGTTCACAGCTGCCGACATGACCTTGACCTAGAATCCTAGCAACTGCCGTCTGCAACTCACACTACGTTATAAAATATGACAAGTAAAGGAACCTTTTGCTCGCCTTCAGGCATACTGGGTATATAGGGCTAGACCTGTATTTTATAGGCCTATCAGCACTGGGTGGGTGATATAGTCAGCATCAGGCCGGCTGTCTGTACTTGCCACAACTCCACCTGATACCCAATCAAGGCTGGGTCAAGCTGGGGGCCAAGGTCAGTTTTGACAAATGTCCAGCACCATCAGGAGCTGAACCCACAACCTTCTGATCCGCAGGCGAGTGTCTAGATGCTACACCACAGCGACTCTCACACAATAGGAACAAACTCACAGGGAGCAAGTACAGCAGGGATCTACCAGTCGTCAGTAGAAATTATGCTCGTCGACACGCGTTTCGGCCCACGATTCCTAGACGCATTCGGAGGTGGGCCCTCCTGAGTTCATGAAGCTCAGGGCTGGTTCCCTGCTGCACGGGATTACCGGATGGTGTTTTACTTTCGGCCAGAGACAAGACGACTTGGTGGTTTCGCAGAAGGTACTGTGAGATAAGAAGCCGCCGCGGCAGCCTAATTAAAGCAGTCAGCATGCCTGGACGACCGAGCGACAAGCTTACTTTGGTTTACCGGACACATGTTGAACTTTTATTAGCAGTTGGCAGAGGAACGCTGGCAGACAATTCGGACACGATGGACTTTCAAAGGGATGAGAAACTCTTTTCCACTAGACACCCGGACCAGCTCACCGAGGCCCGTCCCCTACGTTGTTGCGCTGCGTCCAAAGCCAGCTAGAGGCCCTTTCGGCTACCTCTCCCAGTTTTTTGAGTGTTCGTTTCCGTTCATTACCGCGCAATCCTAGTTCTTTCACCACATTGTAGAGCGAAGTGGAAACGAGGCCTCTCGATTCTCCTCCATACGCGACTCAAACGGGATAGTCAACTCAATCAGGATGAGCTGCCGTTTTTGCGCAGAATGGAGAACGATGTCCGGTCGCAGGCCGGTTTTACGGATCAACTCGGGGTACCGTTCATGGCCTAGCAGATCAACCGCCAGTAACCAGTCCCTCGCAGAGTCTAGCACAGATGGAGCGAATGCGTTTTGGTTGACCTTACCTTTGGGAACCTGCCCAGCCTTGAGGAAACGAATGGGGACGATGCTAGAACTGGCTCTGGTGTTAGCCCTCATTCTAGCCTGGTCGACAACGGCTGCTAACTCTTTTAGCACCTTGTTGTGTCGCCATGTGTATCGGCCTTGACCTAGGGCTTTCCTGCACGCGGACAGGACGTGCTCAAAAGTTTGCTTCGATTTGCACAACGGGCAAGTCGGATCGTTGGTCGCAGACCATTTAACCATGTTAACACCGGACGGTAATACATCGTACGCCGAACGAACGATAAAGCTCAGTCGCATCGGGGTCATCCGCCAGATCTCACCCCATGTGAGTATTCTTGGCAATGCGCTCTCCAGGCTGACCCAATGGCCCTGCTGCGACTGCTGGGCTGCTTTCTGGACCCGAACCTCGTTTTCGTTGTCCCTCACCGTTTGTATTACCATGTCTCGGCGCTCTTTGGTTGAGGCCTTTGACCACCAATTGACCTTCCCGTGCCATAGGCCTCGACGGTCGGTTTGTGTGTATCCCATTATCTCTCTCAATTTTAGTGCGCTCTGGGCAGATTCAATCGCATCGAGGACCCTCCACTTCTGGCCAGTCTTTAGAGCGGGCTGGACAGCGATGACATTTGGGTCTGAAGACTCGCGCAAAAGCATGGCGAGCCTTACCTTGCCGACTTTAAACTCTTCGGTTATCGATTTGAACGGAAGTACCAGCTTAGCCTGTTTGCAATACAGAGCCACGTCGGTCAGACAAGGCGGTGCTCCAATCCACTTTCTCAAGGCTGTGTTGATTTTCTTCTCCATGGTTTCCACTGCAGTCATCGTCACCTCGTAGACTAACAGTGGCCATAGGAGCTTTGGAATCAACATGAATTGGAGACACCATACCTTGAATTTTCCGATCAGCCTGCATCGCTCGATCGCGAGCAGGCCTGTAGCCAGTGACTCGTGTATTCGCCGGACCTCCGCTCTATCGGATAACTTCGAATCATAAACGCGACCGAGACTCTTCACCGGTTCCTCCAGAACCGTGGGGATCTTGTTCCTTGCCACCGTAAAACTGGTCGTCGATACCTTGCCCTTATGGATTGACATACTCCTCGACTTCTGCGGTTTGAACTGCATACCGCTCCATTGGACCACAGTGTCCAATCTTTTCAGGATCGTGCGGACAGACTCCTCGCTGCCCGTTATTATAGTCGTGTCATCCATAAATGCGCGTAGTGGCGGCAACCAGTGATCCCCTATTTGAAGGCCCAGTCCGTAGCCGGCCGCCCCGTCTAACATGATCTGCATTGCCATGACAAACAGTATGGGTGAAATCGTACAGCCCATAGCTATCCCAATCTGCAACTCAGTCCATCTCGTGGTAAATGTCGAGGTAGAGAAGCGCAAAGCGAACTTAGAGAAATATTGCTCGATCATTTGATTGATCTGTGTCGGTACGTGAAACATGCGAAGGGCTCGCCACAGTAGCCTATGGGGGACTGCCCCGTAGGCGTTGGCTAAGTCCAACCATATAACGTGCAAATCGGTTCTCTCATGCTTGGCTCTCTGGATAGCCTCCCAAATCATGGTCGCGTGTTCAAGGCACCCAGGAACGCCTGGAATACCACCCTTCTGAACACTCGTATCTATGTACTTGTTAGTCATCAGATACTGTGTGAGCCGGCGAGCCATGACTGAGAAGAATATCTTACCCTCGACATTCAACAGCGAGATGGGCCTGAATTGGGAAAGACTCTTCGAGTCCTGCTCTTTGGGAATGTAGACCCCATTTGCCTTTGACCACTCTGGACATATGTGATTGCGGATCCACGCTTGTCTCAACAAGACGTGAAGCATTTTTAGGATTTTCGGGCAACGCTTGTAAAAAACGTACGGAACACCGTTCGGACCTGGGGCAGACTTGCCGCTGGCTTTTTTCACAACTTCCTCAACCTCAGACCAAAGGGGAGGTACCATTTTAAATGGTACCTTCGGCACCGAAGTCTGTTTAAGGCCGCTAAGGATCTCTGGATTGTCATCGAGAGGCTCTCTCCTCTTTTTGTCAGAGTACATCTTGCGTAGATGTAGCTCTAGTTCTTCCTGACTGACAACCAGAGTCCCAGACTTCGGTTGCTCGAATAGACCTCGGGCAAACTGATACGGGTCCCTAAAGAATTTCTCTCGCTCCCTTTTGGTTCTACGTCTGTTGTTACAGAAACGCTCGGCGCGACAGAGGGCACTATGTTTGTTCTTTAAATGCAACCAAACTTCATACAGCCCCTCCCGTTCGCTGCCCGTAGCGGCTTTGAACCGTTTTCTGAGGGCATTCACAAAAATATAACTAATGCTAAATTCTGGTCATCGGTTTTACATAACTACTATATTATTACGTCGGTTCTGTGGCTAAGTCGATGCGAACGCTTCGCTTCGTAATGCCGGGATGCCAGGTTCAATCCCAGCTGCAGGCGACGCGCCTTGCGTTGGTTTCGACAGTGGTATCAAGAAAGCTGACCGTCCAGTAAGCAAAGGCAAACTACTGGATGTAAATTGCCTAGAGAATTCACACAACAGCCAGGGGCTGTTAAGGTTGGTTCTGCAACGTCCTGTAAAGGATACGCAACTAACTTTTTTGCGGCGTCCGTGGCTTAGGGGTTGCGAGTCCAACTCGTAATCCAGCGTACCGCGATCGAAACCCATATCCTGTGCCCATCTTCGTGTTGGTCGGCCCCTGAGCTTGATATAGTGTTTGAAATTTTTTTTTAGGGCTTGGTGGTAGAGGGCAGCAAACTGAAGTCCTGTCTGTTCTGGACCTGGAACCTGAAAGGGTTAGGGGGGGAGAGAGAGAGTCATGCAGAGAGGGAGGAAGACACATGCTGAGGTAGGCTGGGAGAGACAGTGTAAAGATGGACAGATGAAGGTAAAGAAAAGAAGGAAAAGAAGTCTGGGGAAGGAGGAAAAAATGAGAGGGAGGGATGGAGACATGATGAGGAAAAGTGGGGAAGGGACAGCGAAAGACAAATACAGAAAGAGGGATTGCAGATACAGAGATGGGCAGATGAAAAGAGAAGGAAAAAGGGAACGAAACAGATATGGAAGGAGGAAAATATGACAAAGAGTTGAAAGAAGGGAGACAGAGGGAGAGAGAAAGGACAGGGAGAGAAGCAGATGCAAACAGAGAGAGATGTAGACATAAAAGAGAGAGAGACAAAGGGACAGCACAGAGAGGCAAGCAGACAGAGGGAGAGAACCAAAGAAAGAGAAAAAAGGCAGAGCAGGAAAATGGGAGGGAGGTATACAAAGAGGAAGTGATGAAGGGAGGCAAACAGACATAAAGCAAGAGAGAGAGAGAGGTGGGTAAGGAAGGCAGTGACAAACACAGATTAAGGGAGAGGGGCAGGAAGGGAGACAAGATACATCAAAGAAAAAAAAAACAGCCTCGTGCTGAAACCCCACCTACTCCCCCCACACAATTTCAAGTGTAGTGGACACAACCACTAGGAAAAGATAGTTATAGGGCCCAAAAAAATATGTAGATGAACCAGAAAAAAATGGGGGGTGGGGGGGGGGGGGGTGAGAATGAGAGAGGGGAGCGGGTAAGGAAATCTAGAGAAAATGAAAAGACAGGATGGAGAGGAGACAAAGAAGAGATGGGACAGGAGAAAGGGCAAGGAAAGGAAGAGAGGAAGAATGGAGAGAGAAAGGAGAATAGTAGAAGATCAAAGGAAAGAGAAGGGGTGAGAGAAGAGAGGTAAGACACGGTTGTGGGGGGGGGGGGTGTAAGAACACTGAGCGCCAAAAAAATAGAATTAGGAAATCTCTAAGTGAGGCCACTTTTCCGGTTCCTACCCTCTCCCAATGTGAATGTGGCTGTGGTCCATAAACAACAGTGCTAACCCCTACTGCCCCGTGCTTGTCATATCTGCGTGTGACAACAATAATTCAATTTCTTACACTTAAGGCTGGTGACCTGAGAGCCAAAGTCATTTTATGAAGAAAAAAAAAAAGTCCAGGGGATCCCAACCCACCACTGGTGGAAAATAGAGAAGTTTACCCACACACATAAATAGGTCAGGGCAGCAGTGGACTTCGTTTTATTTCTGATTTTCCAATTACAGAAAGGAGGGGAGACAGATGAGGTGAGAGAATTAAGTTTAAGAAAATAAAGTGGGAATGAGACAGGGAGAGAAAGAAGGGAGTAAGAAATAAGATGAGATATAGAAGGAAGAAGGTAGCAGGAAGGTGTGCACTACCTCCCCTAGGTGTCATAAATGTGGGAGGAGGAAAAGGGGGGGGGGGGGGGTGACGGCAAATTGTGTTTTTAAAAGTACACATATATTTAATGTATGTGTGAGGGAGTGGGACAGGTGGTGCCGTTGGACATGAAATGTTCTGCACTAGGCAACACATAACCTTCTACGCCAACTGAAGTTACAGGAGAAAGAGAGGTAGAGAGGGGGGGGAGGAGAGAGTGGGGGGGGGGGGGGGGGGGGGGGGGGAGAGGGGGCGGGGGAGGGGGGAGGCGGAGGGGTCGAGAGGGGGAGCGGGGGGGGGGGGGAGGAGAGAGTGGGGGGGATTGACAAGCAGAGAAAAGAGAGGGGGGGAAAGCAGTTAGTGACAGAGGCAGAGAGTGAGGAACAGGTAGGACAAAATGTGAGGGGGGCAGGAAGAGAGAGGGACAGAGATTAAGGCCCGCTAAGAAAACAAACACATCAAAAGAAAATATATCCACCATGTTCACGCTGAAGACCCCTCCCCCCCCCCCCCCCCTAATACAACGATTCTTGTGTACTTGAGTTGCTAAGGAAGAGTTATGGAGCCGCACATTTACTAAACATTTAAACAAGAAATAAAAATAGGAAAAAAAAAGGGGGAAGGGGGGACAGGAAATGAGAAGAGTAAAAGTTGAAAGATAGAGAGAAAGAGAGAAGATGAAGATTTCAGAAGGAGGGTTAGAGACAATGCAGGAGACCGGGAAGTAAGGAGCAATAGGTAGAAGAGTGAAAAGAGGGAGGGAAGAGAGAGAGAGGGGGCTGAGACAACAGAAGATGGGAATCTCGGAGAATTACAATACTGATCACACAAACACACTGAAAAGATAAATCAATGCCCAAAATAGAACCTGGAAATCCAGCTGCAGTCACTTTGATAGCCCCAATGCCATCTCTAATTAATAGTAGAAGGCCGTGCTTAGCCCCCACCCACGGCGACTCTATTTATAAATACAACTGAACCGAGCCCCACCATCTCCCAATGTAATCCTTTCTAGAAACCACGGCTGTAAACGAGTTGATACTACTCATTCTGCCCGCCGCGTCTAGAAACAAAGGCACACACACACGCGAGACAGAAGCTGCTACTTCCCGCCCCATGCCACACCGGCTGCTGTCTGCCATGTATTCATGATCTGCAACACAGCCCGTCCTTCCTCTGGGCCTTTAACAAAGCCATTTACGGCTGAAAAATAGCCAATAATCAGACTGCCCACACACCTGAAACTACCATAAAGCGAAAGTAAGCAGCAAAAAACTAGCCAAATGGCCCCCCAAAAAAAGGCAAAAGGGCTCCACCCAAAAATTGCCTGTGGCTGAAAATCACAGGATTTCTGACGATTTTATTGCCTCTCGGTGGTCAAAATTCACGGCTTTTCAAGGGTCGGAATGTCTTATAAAGCTAAAAAATCACTACCCCATTACCCACTGAGTGCTGATGGTCTGTAAAAATATGGGAGCTCTTCCCATATGCCCGATATGCCTAAAGGCGTGGAAAGGGATCTTTTTAGGGAGTCGCCATGGCAGAGCGGCTAGACGCGCGCCACGGATCGGAAGGTCGTGGGTTCGATCCCTGGCGGAGCCGGACTTTTTCAAAAATGACCTTGACTCTCAGGTCGACCCAACCTTGAGTGGGTACCGGGTGCAGTCCCGGGAAGTAGAGGCGGCCAGCGTGATGCTGACCAAATCACCCATCTTGTGCCGATTGGTTTATAAAAATATATGTCTAGCCCTATATGCCCTATATGCCCTATACACCTAAAGGCGTGGAAAGGGTCCTTTACTTTTTTTTTTACTTACTATATTATCTAAAGTTATGCAAGTACAGAAGAGCAAGAAAGCATCAGACAAACACAAGTTACATTTGAGAATGGTGATGGTTGTGAAGTAGGGGACAGCACTAATGACAACGCTACTATCTGTAAGGAAACAAACATAACTGACCTCCCTTTGTTTCGGATACCAAATTCAGATGTGGACAACAGCATGTCATACAGGGTCTGAATTTCTGCAAACCCTGGTAGGAAGACAAGTATAGCACCTTCCTGTGCAAGCTGGCATGGTAGAGAATAGAAAACAAGTCCCTGACTCAGCAAACTCACTCGACTATGAGGTTAGATCAAGTCATTCAGGAACAACATTTCAACTGTATAGTGGCCAGCTGCTCATCTGAAGGTCTAGAATTCAAATGCAGCCATCTTGTCTCCTGTGGGATGACATTTTTGGTTATTTGAAGCCCCACCCTGGCTTTTGCCGGGGGCCCTGAATATATCTGGGCCACAATTGTGGCCATAATGGCTGAAAGGGGTTTCTGGGACCTGTCCACTGGTGATCCTCATTGGCACTTTGAGTCACCAGGTGTTTATCACTGGTGTGATGTCCTGGTGGGGTACGGTACAACAAGAGAGGGAGAATTCAAGTGCACATCAAGTCTGATTTTTACCCTTCAAAACCGACGCTGTCTGCCAGGTCAACCTAGCAGTCTTTAAAAATATCCTGGGTAGTAAAGGTGGCCAGCCCAATGCTAACCACATCAGCCACTGAGTGCCGGTTTATCTACAAAAAAATATGATTCTAGTATAACATGCTACCAGTGTAACAAGGTTGTGTTTCTTTCTATTGTTAACAAGAGATGAAAAATGTTAAATGTTATGTCATGAGCATGTGTCATGAGAAAAGTGTTAAATGTTATGTCATGAGAATGTGTCATGAGAAAAGTGTTAAATGTTATGTCATGAGAATGTGTCATGAGAAAAGTGTTAAATGTTATGTCATGAGAATGTGTCATGAGAAAAGTGTTAAATGTTATGTCATGAGAAAAGTGTTAAATGTTATGTCATGAGAATGTGTCATGAGAAAAGTGTTAAATGTTATGTCATGAGAATGTGTCATGAGAAAAGTGTTAAATGTCATGTCATGAGAAACCAGTAGAAGAGACACAAGCAGGCCCAGAGACATGATATCTGACGACAGTGGCATGGAGGAATCTCCTCAACAGTATTGCTCTAGAACACTTGGTACAGAGATCTGTGCAGAGACATATAGGCTAGGCCATCAGGCAAGGCAGACAATGTGAGGCAGGGGTAAACACTGAGCGGAAGAGACAGATAATGAGGAGCTAGTTGACGTGAAGCAGGGAGGGGTAAACACTGAGCGGAAGAGACAGATAATGAGGAGCTAGTTGACGTGAGGCAGGGGTAAACATTGAGTTGAATGGACAGGTAATGAGGAGTTAGTTGACGTGAGGCAGGGGTAAACATTGAGTTGAATAGACAGATAATGAGGAGCTAGTTGACGTGAGGCAGGGGTAAACATTGAGTTGAATGGACAGATAATGAGGAGCTAGTTGACGTGAGGCAGGGGTAAACATTGAGTTGAATGGACAGGTAATGAGGAGTTAGTTGACGTGAGGCAGGGGTAAACATTGAGTTGAATGGACAGATAATGAGGAGCTAGTTGACGTGAGGCAGGGGTAAACATTGAGTTGAATGGACAGGTAATGAGGAGTTAGTTGACGTGAGGCAGGGGTAAACATTATATGAGTTGAATGGACAGATAATGAGGAGCTAGTTGACGTGAGGCAGGGGTAAACATTCAGTTGAATAGACAGATAATGAGGAGCTAGTTGATGTGAGGCAGGGGTAAACATTGAGTTGAATGGACAGATAATGAGGAGCTAGTTGACGTGAGGCAGGGGTAAACATTGAGTTGAATGGACAGGTAATGAGGAGTTAGTTGACGTGAGGCAGGGGTAAACATTGAGTTGAATGGACAGATAATGAGGAGCTAGTTGACGTGAGGCAGGGGTAAACATTGAGTTGAATGGACAGATAATAAGGAGCTAGTTGACGTGAGGCAGGGGTAAACATTGAGTTGAATGGACAGATAATGAGGAGCTAGTTGACGTGAGGCAGGGGTAAACATTGAGTTGAATGGACAGATAATGAGGAGCTAGTTGACGTGAGGCAGGGGTAAACATTGAGTTGATTGGACAGACAATGAGGAGCTAGTTGACGTGAGGCAGGGGTAAACATTGAGTTGATTGGACAGACAATGAGGAGCTAGTTGATGTGTCTGCTAGAGGTGGCTGAGTTACCTCGTGGTCCCCCAGCACAATCCACTCCAGCAAGTGTATGATGAGGTCATAGTTGATCTTCATCAGATCCATCACAGACAGAACCTTGACAGTTGAGCCACTGTAGTCTGTGGACCGCCAGCATTACATCAGCTATTTATTAAGACAACATTTTACATGGCAAATAACATAACATACTGTAGATAAAATATGTGTTACAGATAACACGGCATAGTGCTGATAATTTTTATACGTGATTGATAACCGCTACATTTTATGTGGCAGATAACATTATATGTGATAGATAAAACTGTGTTGCAGATACATCATATGTGAAAGATAAAATTATATGCGACAGATAACATTATCTGTTGCTAAAACATTAAATGTGTTGCAGATACAGTATATGTGGATAACATTATGTGTTGCAGATACAGTGTATATGTAGATAACACTATGTGTTGCAGATACATCATATGTGAAATATAACACTATGTACTGCAGATACTATATATGTGGTAGATAACATTATATGTGGCAGATAACATAATATACTGTCATCTGTGGACAGATAACCTTATATGTTGTAGATAACAAAACATATTATTTACTACAATTATATCTTGTAGATAATATTAGGTGTTGCAGATAACATTATATGCTGCAAATAACAATATTCTGTAGGCACAGAACAATTATATGTCATTATCTGTGCAAAGATAACTCTATAGTATGTAATCAATTAATATAACATGAGCATATAAATTCTAGCTGTTCTTGAAATTCAACACTATCACGTATTCTCTTCCTTGACTGCCCTAATTTTTTTTAACAGAATATGCCTAACAAGGAATTTATTATAGAGATCAATGGTTCTCAGCCTGTGGGTCATGACCCTTTTTTGTGTCGAACGACCCTTTCACAGGGGTCACCAAAGACCATCGCAAAACATATTCATTGGAGTTATGAAGTAGAAACAAAAATAACTGTATGCTGGGGGGAAGGGGGCGGCACCACAACATGTAGAACTGTATGAAAGTGTTGTGGCATTAGGAAGGTTGAGAGTCACTGTTATAGATAAACATGACTAAATGTTCCCACACACAAACAAGGCTGATACACACACACACCTGACTTTAAACACCATTATCAAGTGTTCAACTTACCTTGGTATCTCAGCCTCATTTGCTGTGGAGTGAGATTCATGTCAGCGATCTTATCACTGGCTGGTTGGCATGCCCCTCTGCTGTTGACCAGCTCATCATCCCAATCTTCCAGCCTGAGCTCTTTCCCTGCAGCTCTCCCGCTCTGGTTCGGACCTGCACTCTTGTGTTTGAGTGGTCTAGAGTAAGGGGACTTGTCCTCCAGGCTGTACCTGCACACAAAAACATGGCTGATACAAAATAACTGTCTATTTCTGTTCTCTGGTGTCAACATAATCTGTTTCTGTACTCTGATGTCAACACAAACTGTTTCTGTTATCTGGTGTCAACATAATCTGTTTCTGTACTCTGGTGTCAACACAAACTGTTTCTATTCTCTGGTGTCAACATAATCTGTTTCTGTACTCTGGTGTCGACATAATCTGTTTCTGTACTCTGGTGTCAACACAATCTGTTTCTGTACTCTGGTGTCAACACAAACTGTTTCTATTCTCTGGTGTCAACATAATCTGTTTCTGTACTCTGGTGTCAACACGATCTGTTTCTGTACTCTGGTGTCAACACGATCTGTTTCTGTACTCTAGTGTCAACACAATCTGTTTCTGTACTCTAGTGTCAACACACTCTGTTTCTGTACTCTGATGTCAACATAATCTGTTTCTGTACTCTGATGTCGACATAACCTGATTCTGTTCTCTAGTTTCAACACAATCTGATTCTGTTCTCTAGTGTCAACACAGTCTGTTTCTGTACTCTAGTGTCAACACAATCTGTTTCTGTACTCTGGTGTCAAATTAATCTGTTTCTGTACTCTGGTGTCAAATTAATGTGTTTCTGTTCTCTAGTGTCAACATAATCTGTTTCTGTACTCTGGTGTCAAATTAATCTGTTTCTGTACTCTGGTGTCAACATAATCTGTTTCTGTACTCTGGTGTCAACATAGTCTGTTTCTGTACTCTAGTGGAAGCATAATCTAATTTTTGTTTATAGGTGGGAACACAATCTATTTGTGTGCAATAGTAGAAACATAATGTATTTTCTGTTAACTGGTGTAGACAGAATCTATTTATGTGCAATAGTCGAAACATAATCTGCTTTTGTTCTTTTGTGGAAAAATTATTTATTTCACTGGTGACAGCAGTCTATTTTGATGCCACCTACTGTTTCACATCAGGAAGATGTTCCTGCTTGGGGTCAACCATGTAAACTTTGACCTAGCCATGGTATGCTGTAGATGATCAGACCATGCTAAGTTGTCGACACCAAGACTATGTTGTTTACTTACTGTGTAAACTCTATGACATCCTCCAGAAAGAACTGCTGCACCGGAAATGTTTTACCTTAGTCAAGACATAAACACAAGATGATGTTAACATTTTCACATTAACATAAATATTTGAACATCAGAAAATGTCATCATTTTCAGGTTCTTATAAATAAACAAACATCTCAGAGCCAAGTTTCACAAGGTAAGGTACAACTGAAACAAAGAGTCAATACAAATATAAGAAAAACCAGACAACAGAAAAAAACAAGATTAAATTGAAAATGCAGAAAACAATCTGGTTTACTAAAATCCTTAAGCAGCTTTTGAGGCCCCCCCCCCCTCCGGGGGGGGGGGGGGGGGGGGGGGGGGGGGAAAGACATATCCACTACTACTTTAAGCCTATCTCCCTAAAAAGCAGCAAAACTGCCACTTCTAATACATAAAATAAATAATTTGTGTTAAAGTGACAAGTGACTTCTGTAAAATCTTTGATTTATGAAGGGTTTCTTCAGAGAATTTCCACAGGATCATGACTGATTTTTTTTGTTTAGCATTACCAGACGGTTAAAGAGTTAACAACAACTAATTAAGGTTTTGCTGAAATTAGATGTGTTAAGCTGAAAAACACTGAGATCACAGCCTAGCTGTAAACTGCAACATAATATGCCAACCACTTTTTTAATGGGCAAAGGCAGACGAAGAAAAAGAAGAAGAATACTGAATCACAGCTGATACGTCTACAACAAATACACTCAAACTGCAGCTGCCATAATCACATTTGCAGGCAACCGTCCCATTCAGTTGAAAGAGAAAGAAGGTTGGTCATAATTCAGCCTGACAAAAGACAACAAAAGAGACATAAATGCAAGATCATGCAAACACTGATGATGATGGCTTCCAAAGTCATGGGTAGACTCTATTATGCCTGTAACTTTGATATCTTTCTGGTGTCTGCTGTAGCCTTTGATATTTACTTATTTCAGCTTATCTTCTCTTTGCTGTAACATCTTCCAATTAACATTTAATTTATTTATCCCAGACCAAGAGGGACAATGCTGGATGGGTTAAAATGCATGGCATGGAGGGATATCATCAAGAGAGCTGTTCCTGCCAATCAGGGATCGTAATCTGTGGAGACGCATGAGCAACTATGCCAGTTGGCAGAGACATGATGATGATGATGATCCAGACTAAGAACACGTTAAATGTAAAAGCAATTTATTTCTGATCAGTATGTACATGGTAAACAACATCCTCTCATAAAGGCTGAGGTATTTTGGACATGTCAAGTGCTCTGGTGGTCTGGGAAGATCAGTGCTGGAGGTGGCAGCTTCTGGAGAAGGAAGCAGAGGCCAACCTCATGAAGGTGGCTGCAGTGAAGTGTTGTTCTGTAAAGAACCTGCTGATTGAATCATGTACATTCATGATGCAGACGGATGTTGCTTACATCTGTCTATCCCTCTCTCTCTCACATTCTTATGTGTCTCTCTCTCACATTTTTATGTGTGTGAAATGTACTATTTCCTACTGTGATTAGAACACAGAAGAAAATAATCACAAAAGCAAGAACTACAATCATATAAACAGATAAAGAGGGCAACAAGTGATCAGGGGCAGGGTTGGAATACCTGGTATCTCCAAGACTGGACAGTTGTTGAAGTACTGGGAGAACAGGGCCGCATTAATTGTGGCACTCATGAGAATCACTTTCAGGTCGGGCCGCCGCTCCAGGACATCTCGGAGGATCATCAACAAGAAGTCACTATAACCATGGGAAGGCACATCAATTAGGGAATCATCTATAAATATGAGAAGTTGGGAATTAAATGGACTTCACTCTCTTAGGCCTGAAAAACACAATATGTTGACTAATACTTGACCTCATCACTATGTAAATATTAAATGAAGGTTAACTATGACATCATAATGGCTTTAACCGCCCCCCCCCCACCCCCACAAGAAACCCCCCTGTCCATAAAGGCTGTTTCAGGACACATAATGATATCTGGGCCTCCTCAACACTGTGCAGGCACAAAATAAACCACTGACAGTAATTAGGTTAATCTAAGACAAGGCCAGCTAACTTGTATTTATGGGGATCTGTAGCGGACGGTGACATAAGGTTAGTGGTATTATGATGTGACACATTGAAACAAGACACTGCCAACCTTTCCTCAGATCTCTCATGGACCTCATCTATGATGATGTGTGTCACACCTTCCAGATGGGGGTCACCTTCCAGCCGGCGGAGAATAATGCCCGTTGTGCAGTACAGGAGTCTTGTGTAGGCAGACTGATTAGGAAGAAGTCATTTATAGATACTGGATCAACAAAAACATATGACATGATAAAAGTAAACTTTCACACAAAAAATTTGAGTTACAGATGAAGTCACCCACAACAATATGTTACAAAGACATCATACCCCAAAATTAAAATATTTTACAGATGGCCACTATATTGATAGATATATCCATCAGCACTTGGGTCAGTTCTCACAGATCATACGGCAAAGGGTTCAATGGCCAAAGATTTACATTTTCCAAATGATGAGTTTTTTTTGCAACAATTGAATTTCGAGCAACTCTTAAAAGACATATCAAATCCCCCTTGAATTTCAAGTACTCAACTCTTTTTTTTTCAAACACAGACACTTTGCTTATGTGTATGGCATTTTTTATTATGTACTTAAAATTGTTGCTATCAGGAGTGGTTGTCATATTTATAAGTCACTTGACCCACCCCACCGTTTTTCCTTAAATGAGGTGATTCAAGTGAGATTTGAAGTTGTGACCTTCCGCATGTAAAGCAGATATTACACCATTATATCAGTGTCACCCTTATATGAAAGAACACAGATATAAAAAATGCATCCATGCAGGCATAAAAAATGTGCGAAATTTGTGTTAACAAGGTTTGTGTTAACAAGGTTTGTGTTAACAAGGTTTTTTTTAACAAGGTTTTTACTGTATAACACAGAAGTGTGACTACTTCCCAAACTTTACTGTTTTGTTATACCCTGTGGAATGTTTTCAAATTTTTTTTTTTCAGTGTGTAGGTAATGTTACTGTTCTTTTGTATGCTGATAAAGATTTTGTCGAAACAATCTCTTGTATTTGTGTGTGTCTTTTCTTCAGCCATGCTTCTTATGTTCTCAAGGTCATTGCACCTCAAATATCACTAACAAATGAGTGAGCTTATTTACATTCTGTGTTCTTATTTTTTAATGTTTAATGTGGTTTCAGCTGCAGTCATCACAGCTGCGTGGCATTACTAAGATGAGTTCTACTTACCATGACACTCTCCAGCCGTATCTGATAGCCCACAGATCGACCTAGTTTCTCTGCTCTCTCGACAGCGACTCTCTGGGCGACTGCCATGGCAGAGATTCTTCTGGGCTGGGTGCAAACAATGTTGACATTGAGAACTTTCCCCTGCAGGGCTTCATCCAAGAGAAACTGTGGTATCTGTGTGGTTTTGCCACATCTAGGGAGACAAAGTTGATAAAAGCACACATTTCAAATGTGTATACACACTAAACAATACTTCAAAACATCTAGACACAAAACATATTTTATAAAGCCCTAGGTATTAACATAATTTATTAGAACCAGATGCTAACAATTTTATCATGATTTCATACGTAGATAATATACAAGGATCCCATACAAATAAATAAAATATAGGAAGTTCATTTGCACGCACGTTGAGGCTCTTGTGTTCGTAAATAGTTTACCAAGGTCACATACACACAGAGTTTATGAGAGACCTACACAGGAACAGAAAAGGGTTTACACACACACACACACATAACAAAAAATGCCACATACATTAGCGGAGAGAGAGAGAGAGAGAAAGAGAGAGAGAGAGAGTGCACATGTGCGTGCATGCATGTATATATATATGGGTTACAACTTCTCTCCGTTTGTGAGACTACAACACATTGCTCTATGTGTCACATTACAGAATCAACACACCTACCACAATAAGCTAGCCCACAGTCTGGACACCCCCATAATCGTTGTTGTAACTCTAATATCGGATAGTCCGTCCGTGGAGATATAGTTCGTGGGTTGTGGGGGAGTCCAGATGTGAGAAATCTATATAAATCACTCTTAGATTGTTTCTTTTAGGCGTTTAGTGTCGATTTGCATGTTAGGACACATTTTCTACGCCCGTTTAAGATTAATTGTGTGACCGCTTCACAGTGTACTTATTCTCACACCAACTGTCGTAGATAGGGACTATAATTTTATACGTCACTTCTTTGTAGTCCGTTCAAGTGAGTGAACGTGTGGCATTTTTGTAGCCACTTGACCGTTAAAAAAGACAAGCTTCTTTATTCTCTTTATCCATTGACATGGGATATTGGAAGATCCAACAAGCATCCGTGTGGTAGTCGTGTTCTCCCACCAACCAACACCTGGGAAGAAACCGACTTGCGTTGACCAGCAGTTGCCTGATGTGTCTGTCTGTAGTTTGAAAGTCATACCTACCAGTCTCTCACCTGATTCGATCAATCCCCAGGGATCGTCTTAATCGCACAGAGACGTTCTGAGTAACGAGACGTAGCAAAAATCTACCTTCGGGCATCCGGAGGAGCTGCAGGATCCGACAAGATAAGTCTAAGACAACTTCACTGTAGCGGCCTAAGTCCAGTTGTGCCTTCGAAGTCCGTCTCTGCTCTCCAAGGCTATGATGATCCTGGAAATGGATGTGGCTATGTAGAAAGACTCTTTCTCTAGTCTCAGTTCTTCAAAGACTTGAACATTCATTTTGATTCTTCGTGCTACTTTTCTTCTGCCTTGTTATAGTGCCTTTATTACATTGAAGTTTTAGTTCATCAGACTTCTTGTTCTTAGAAGAGTTTGGTTTTAACGGAATCCATTGTCGTAGTCAGAAAGGTGTTCATGTATTGTCCTACTCACTGTTGTTTATATATTTGACTGCGTTACGTTGTGTACCAGTCTGGGGGCAAATTTAGTAATGGGGATGTCTGGCCGAGAGGTACCCAAGAGTTCATAGTAACCCTGTGGAGTCAGAGCTCGAGTCACCTCATTCCTGAGATAGGCTGAATGGAAGTTTGAACCTAGGGTTAGGCCTCTAGACAAACGAGAGCCACCATTCAGAAGACCCCTGTCTCAGAGTACCTGAGGGGTTTTGGAAAATAATCCTCAAGTAAAGGTGCGCGACAAAACTGCCATACGACACTATGGTCAATCACACATACGTAACAACACCTCCAGCGGTGTGGGAGATAACACTTCTCTCCGTGTGTGAGACAACACACCTTGCTCTATGGTCTATCACACATACGTAACAACACCTCCAGCGGTGTGGGATAACACTTCTCTCTGTGTGTGAGACAACACAACTTGCTCTATGTTCAATCACACATACGTAACAACACCTCCAGCGGTGTGAGATAACACTTCTCTCTGTGTGTGAGACAACACAACTTGCTCTATGTTCAATCACACATACGTAACAACACCTCCAGCGGTGTGAGATAACACTTCTCTCTGTGTGTGAGACAACACAACTTGCTCTATGTTCAATCACACATACGTAACAACACCTCCAGCGGTGTGAGATAACACTTCTCTCTGTGTGTGAGACAACACAACTTGCTCTATGTTCAATCACACATACGTAACAACACCTCCAGCGGTGTGAGATAACACTTCTCTCTGTGTGTGAGACAACACAACTTGCTCTATGTTCAATCACACATACGTAACAACACCTCCAGTACTGAGATAACACTTCTCTCTGTGTGTGAGACAACACATGACTTGCTCTACATGGCATGAAGGATCATCTTTGTCAGAACTGACAAAGTACATGAGACAGAAAGTACATGAGACAGAAAGTACATGAGACAAAAAGTACAATAGACAGAAGGCTGAGGACAGACATGGCATGGACTATAAAAAGACTGTGTGGCTCCCGGGATTGGGGAAGAATAAACCATTAAGAAGCTTGTTGAAAAACAAGACCAAGTCAGAGTTTGCTGAAATTGGATTGAAAGGCACTGATATTTCAGCCAATCTGTAAACCACAACACAGGGGCATGAACATTTTCTTCACATATATGATCATATATATACAGGGATTTTTAAAAATACTATATGACATTGTGCTTTATTATGCTTTAGAAGTCTATATGGTTACAGTCAAAGACATCATACACCAAAATTATATTTTACAGATAGCCACTATATAGATATATCCATCAGCACTTGGGTCAGTTCTCACAGATCACATGGCAAAAGGTTCAATGGCCAAAGATTTACATTTTCCAAATGATGAGGGTATTTAACAATTTGCAACTACAGACAACCTCTTGAATTTCAAGCAACTCGTACAAGGCCACATATCAAATCCACTAACCTTGGAATATCCCAGTAATCACATACTCAGGGATCTCATCCCTCCTCCCTCCCCAAATAAACTGTCAATACATGGACTTGAAATTGTTGCCATCAGGAGTGGGTGTCATATCGATAAGCCACTCGACCCACCCTACCATTTTACTTCACATAAAGTGAGATTCTAGTCGTTTTCTCCCCTTCTACAGCTCTCAAATTTGCATAAATAGGATGTGATAAATTTGTTGCACTCTGAACCTCAGCTTCAAGACTATGTGACAGCCGACATCTGTCTTTGAACTTACAAAAGCCCTTAAGGTAAAAGGGACACAGCCGTTTCTCCACTTTCTTCTCTTGTCCTTATTGGACTTCTGCTGTCAAGCAGCTGATGTAGTTCAGGCAACTTTAAATTCAACAGCCAAATTTTGTTGGGGATACACTCCTCAAAATCACAGTCATAAATGGATTGTAGGGCAAGCATCTCCTCTTCCCTGGCTTCCAGAATCTCCTGATCTACATCTGCCTGACCTCCACCCACATCTTCGTCCTCAGAAACAGTCAGGTTTATGTTGAAGAGTTCATTGAGAAGATACTCCAGGGCTGCCCCTGTATCTCCTTCACAGATCTGCAGAGCTTCCTGGCAGAGATCCTGGCTGAAGCCACATCTGTGGGGAGACAAATGACAACTGGTCTCAGAGAGTGTGGAACATTAATGACAACTGGTCTCAGAGAGTGTGGAACATTAATGACAGCTGGTCTCAGAGAGTGTGGAACATTAATGACAAGTCTATGAACAATTTATAGCAAGATTCTGGCAGTGACAAGGACAGACACAGTTCACAAGCACATGTGGTTAGAAACAAATGACAGCTTGACTCAGCGGAACATCAATGACAAATCTATTAAAAACTTATAATGGTTGCTTGACTCAGCGAGTGTGGAACAATAATGACAAATTATTAACAATTTATAATGGCTGTTTGACACAGTGAGTGTGGAATATTAATGACAAGTCTATGAACAATTTATAACAAGAATCTGGCAGTGACAAGGACGGATAGAGTTCACAGCCGCCACTGGACATATCAGAGCCTCAAGTAACAGTTTCTACAAAAACCAAAAAAAACCAGTCCAGCTTCATACACTCCTGAGATAGTTCATAACAAATGGTGGCTGCACAGACTGAGGAAATGGACCTGGTCAGAGTCAAGAGAAGATGTTGAATATGGTGGCCACCCTATAATTCTTAGGAGATCTTCCTGAAATACTTCCAATAATTGTTGGACCACTGCTGCCTTAAAGGTGATTAAATGTATTTTCTAGGCCATAGGTTGGATTTTTCAATACAACAAACACATAACGAGACAGCAGCAGGAAAAACCAACAGGGTATTGCCCTTGCCATGGTTGACTCCAATGTGGTCTGCATCAATGATGGGAGCCCGACCAGAATGGCAATGAGGTCTCACGATGCAGACAGCTACTTATTGACTTGACCAGTCGTCTGTTTTAGATGTAAAATGGACTGTCTTAAATGACCATGGGAGTGATCACCTACCATGTTCAGTCCTGATTTCTAAACCCAGTAAGGTTAAGGCTGGGAGAGCATGCAAGACTTTCCGGTATAAGTGGACCAACAACCCACTTGGATGCCTCAGAGAGAGCATGCAACGGGACTGCCAAAACTAATTTTCTACAGCCCCCATGGTGGACCCTAGAAGGAGAACAGGTGTGAAAGGTAAAGAGAACCGCAGTGAAGCAGCTAAAGAAAGTACGACAGACACCCCTAAAGCTTAGGAGAGGAAGTGGAGATGACATAGAATGTGATAAATGATAAGGTGGAGGTTTTCAAATGCTGTGCTGCATAGGGCAAAATGGCAAAATTTTATGAATGATATGGGAGGCGATAAAACACTGGGAAAATTCTGGAAACTGCAAAGAAAAGAGCCTATGACAGTGGGAACAATTTGTAGAGATGATGGTGTGCACATGACAACAGAAAAGATGAAAGGGGAGGCATATCTCCATAGATTTAGAGCTCAGACAGATCATAATGATGTAGACATCAGGGATTAGTTAGAGAGGAGTTATCTGGCACCATAAAGAATATGCATTATGAAGTCATGATACAAGTGGAAGACATCAAACAAATCTTGAAAAAGGCAAAAGACACAGCATCGGGGCCTGATGAAGTCAGGTATGGCCATATGAAGGCTTTGGGCAATGTAGATCTGATGGAGATGATCAACTGCTTTAACTAGAGCATTATGACAGCATCAGTACCGCAGGACTGGGTGCAGTTATCTAATCGTAATGCAGCCTTTTAATTCCCCTGTTGGGTTTTCCTGCTGCTGTCTCATTATGTGTTTCTTATACTGAAGTACCTACAAATGAGCAACCTATCACCTGGTAATTCCTCCAATCCCTTGAGCCAGTTCTATTGTTCCCTTCTGACAAAACTGTCGACCGTAGCATATATATTTATGAGGCTCAGTGGCTTTAGAATCAACACCTTAGAAAACACATTTGGGAAGGTCTTGGAGAAGATAGTCGCTGTCAAGCTGCAAGAATTTTTGGAAAGGGAAAAAACATTCAATCAAAATGCTGCTGGCACCATAGGTACTGGAACTCTGCGTAGGCTGCTGAAGATGGAGATGGAGTGCTTATGGGAATGCCCAGAGTGCTGTGATGTCGGTTCTTAAATCTACTCAACTCTATTATTATCCTGGCCTTTGATCTGTCTGAACTCTGAATAAAACAGATTTGTTCCCCAGTCATGGCTGAATACTTTCTGTCAATGTTGGGGGGTTTTGTCTGATTCTGTTTATCAATTGTTAAGCCCGGCTCTCTAGCGTAATTGGCTAAACCGGATTGCGCGGTGAGCGGATGATGAACTCCTTGTGGTCAGGGTTCACTCCCGGGGGTAGGCAGAAAAGCCACATTTCTCCCAGATTTACGGTATTTACAATGGAATCAAGGCCGAAAGGTTGCGATATCCATAATACCGAGCCTAAGGGTTAACAACTCATGGCTTCTGGATACTAAAACAAACATCACTTGTTAAACATGTGTGTGTGTGTGTGTATGTGTGAGAGAGAGAGAGAGAGATAGATAGAGAGAGAGAGAGAGACAGACAGACAGACAGAGATAGAGAGAGAGAGACACACAGAGAGAGAGAGAGAGAGAGAGACAGAGAGACAGACAGACAGAGACAGACAGACATAGAGAGAGAGAGAGAGAGAGAGAGACAGAGACAGAGAAAGGGGGGGAGAGACAGAGAGAGACACACAGAGAGAGAGAGAGAGACAGAGAGACAAAGAGAGAAAGATAGAGACAGAGAGAGAGACAGAGAGAGAGACAGGCAGAGAGAGAGAGAGACAGACAGAGAGAGACACACACACACACAGACAGAGAGAGGCAGACATACAGACAGAGAGAGAGAGAGACAGACAGACAGAGAGAGACACACACAGTAACACAGAGAGACATGGAGAGAGAGACAGAGAGACACATACAGACAGACAGAGAGAGAGAGCTTGACTGCTCATACTCTAATGCTCTTTAAATATAAACAAGATTACATAAAGACAGAAAAGTAGAATATAGAACAGACTGAACAGAATGGAATTAACAGCATAGTACAGAAGTGGATGTTGGAGGGCTGCAGGTTTGAGTTCCACAGATAACATGAATCCATACCTCTGTAGTTTTTTTATGGCAAAGATGTTTGACTGGGCACCAGATTTTGAGTCATTAAGAGAAGCATTAAATGTAACTGCATCTTGAATGACCAATCGCCGGTCTGGGATCCAGTAGCGGTTTTCTACATTTGGGTCGAGCTCATCATGTACTGGACCATCATCATCATCACCATCGTCATCTTCACCATCATCTTCATAGTCCATGCCTTGATCTGTAAAACTGAGAATTCACCAGCAAAGTTACAGACACATGGCCAGTTCACAGGAATAAACAAAGTATCAATGCCTTGATCTGTAAAACTGAGAATTCACCAGCAAAGTTACAGACACATAGCCAGTTCACAGGAATAAACAAAGTATCAATGCCTTGATCTGTAAAACTGAGAATTCACCAGCAAAGTTACAGACACATAGCCAGTTCACAGGAATAAACAAAGTATCAATGCCTTGATCTGTAAAACTGAGAATTCACCAGCAAAGTTACAGACACATGGCCAGTTCACAGGAATAAACAAAGTATCAACCAAAGAATAACAAATGGTCAGTGGCAAACAAAAAATATCCACACACAAAAACATGACCAAGAAATCAAGAATAATTTGCTAGCAGGTGCAAAGTTGATCACCACTGTGTCCTGTATACATGATATACGGCTCCCAATGAATTCCTTTATCTGGTTGTGTCCTGTGCAATTCTTTTAATATCATGTACCAGTAGTCACTCTAGAATACACATATACAAAGCAAGTTTAGCCATACTTCACAGCTCAACTGGGGAACCATCTTCCATGATAAATCAAAAGTACCACAAGTACCTATACATACATTCAGAAACTGTTCCTATATTTTCTGACCATATATTACATGTCCCCTGGAAAGATAAAAGTATTTTGGAAATAGCGCATATGTTCCCTACATTTAATACGATTACTTTGGTTTACTGTGGTTAGAAATGTTGGTGTAACTTGAGCATATTCCAGTGATTGTATTTAATATTTAGCTGCTATTGATGTTTACTATTACTTGTTGACAGATTTATGAATGAAATGATGTACCAAAAGTTCAGAATGTCAGGCAGGTCTGCGAGCCCAATTCTCAATCCTTTAAAAAAAAGTTTGTTCATTTTTTCTCTCAATGGTTGTCTTGGATGTTTTCATTCAAATTATTTACTATGTCACTGTCGGTGTTATTCTTTGTTTTGCCTGAGAATATGCCCAAGACACGGCCATTGTTCTTTATTTTGTCTGAGAATATGCCCAAGACACGGCCATTATTCTTTATTTTGTCTGAGAATATGCCCAAGACACGGCCATTGTTCTTTGTTTTGTCTGAGAATATGCCCAAGACACGGCCATTGTTCTTTATTTTGTCTGAGAATATGCCCAAGACACGGCCATTGTTCTTTGTTTTGTCTGAGAATATGCCCAAGACACGGCCATTGTTCTTTGTTTTGTCTGAGAATATGCCCAAGACACGGCCATTGTTCTTTGTTTTGTCTGAGAATATGCCCAAGACACGGCCATTGTTCTTTGTTTTGTCTGAGAATATGCCCAAGACACGGCCATGTTCTTTGTTTTGTCTGAGAATATGCCCAAGACACGGCCATTGTTCTTTGTTTTGTCTGAGAATATGCCCAAGACACGGCCATTGTTCTTTGTTTTGTCTGAGAATATGCCCAAGACACGGCCATTGTTCTTTGTTTTGTCTGAGAATATGCCCAAGACACGGCCATTGTTCTTTTGTTTTGTCTGAGAATATGCCCAAGACACGGCCATTGTTCTTTATTTTGTCTGAGAATATGCCCAAGACACGGCCATTGTTCTTTATTTTGTCTGAGAATATGCCCAAGACACGGCCATTGTTCTTTATTTTGTCTGAGAATATGCCCAAGACACGGCCATTATTCTTTGTTTTGCCTGAGAATATGCCCAAGACACAGCCATTGTTCTTTGTTTTGTCTGAGAATATGCCCAAGACACGGCCATTGTTCTTTGTTTTGTCTGAGAATATGCCCAAGACACGGCCATTGTTCTTTGTTTTGTCTGAGAATATGCCCAAGACACGGCCATTGTTCTTTATTTTGTCTGAGAATATGCCCAAGACACGGCCATTGTTCTTTGTTTTGTCTGAGGATATGCCCAAGACACGGCCATTGTTCTTTGTTTTGTTGATACCAGCTACTGTCTAAACATTTTATGGATTATTTTGCCTTCCAAGAATTATAATGTAACTGAAAAGTAAACCAACTAAAAATATGATAATTGTCCAACACTGCTACATGGCTCTCTGTGGCAGTCATCTATCAGTGAGCTAGTGTGATGAACAAAGAATGCAATGATATCAGAAGTGTCAGGGAAGTGTCAAATGTTGCCAAGGGGCTAAATGACACCCAAATGGAAATCAGAAATTTCGGTAGGCTTTGGCAGCTATGCCAAGAGCCTTAAAAAAATATTAATTGAAGGAGTGGTACAATACTTCAAAGATGGCTGCACATCAGTGGAAAGGAATCGTGTCCCAGCAGGCACTGGACATGCAGAAAGGATGAGGTTATTGATCAAGTGTAGACTTTGGAATTACATTCACGTGTGCTCAATAAAAATGGAAGGCAAAGGTGAGCCAAAATTGAAGTAAACTAAGCTTGAAACAACACCACAAATTCTCATGATTGATAGTGTGTGCCTATATTATCTGTCACTGAGAAAAGGCAGAAACTTGAAGTGAGGACAACACACACCTGAATTCTCCATCTCTGTCTCCAGACTGGAGTGACAATAAGGTATCCTTCACCATCATCTGGTTCTCTTTAGTCATGTCTAACTGCTGCATCTCCACTTTTACTTTAGGAAAGGACCCTTGACCTCTCCCTCTTGTGTGGCTATGCTCCAGATTCATTTTAGGAAATGACCCTTGACCTCTCCCTCTTGTGTGGCTATGCTCCAGATTCATTTTAGGAAATGACCCTTGACCTCTCCCTCTTGTGTGGCTATGCTCCAGATTCACTTTAGAAAATGACCCTTGACCTCTCCCTCTTGTGTGGCTATGGACAGAACCAAAAATTTATAAACAATTGACCTGAAAGCACAATTCACTAAAAAGTAGGGTTGAAGTGGCTTGAAGGTCTAGCAGCTGCCCCTGGCTCAGGCAGACTAGGTTCAAATCTAACACAGAAAGGAAACCAGTGGTTTGACACTGCTCTCTGATCACATGACTTATTATTCTCAGATAGGACCTAAACAACCAGAAGGACCTGTGTGTTTGTTCCAGATTCTTCTGCAGTTAGATACTGAAATGATCATGTAGGCACAACTGACCACTGCTCATCATCATCATCCTGTAGCAGGTTCTTGCAGAACGTCGCTGTCATCACAATCTGCCTGAAAGAAACCCGGTCTCTTGCCAGCTCTCCCGCCTTGTATACTTTCATATTCAAGGAATCACTTATATTCTCTACCCATCTTCGTACAGCTTTGGTGGTCGGCCCCTGCTCCTCCTTTCTGGCACCATGCCTTCTGCTATTATTTGTTCCAATCCGCCATGGTGTTTAATATGACCAAAATATTTCAGCATCTGAGACAAAATGCTGTTTATTTGCCAATCTTCCTTGATGTTCAAATTTCCAAATTATACAAATTACTCACAAATAATATTGATATAATGGGTGCTACTAATATAAACACATGAAGATTTGTACTTGCAGTAGAAATCTCCATGTGCTCAGTTAACCCTGTCAGCCTAGAAGGCCAGTTTTCTGAATGTTAAGGGTTTTTTATGACATTATATCTTTTGGCAGTGGCCATTGCGCTTAAATAACAGCTTTGATAGTGGTTTGAATTGCACTGTGTCTAGACGTGGTGGGTATGATCATATAAAATATGCCTCCCCCCCCCCTTTCCCCGTGATGGCATAATAAACTTTTCTTTGCTCCACTTGTAGTTACTGATTACTTTACATCATATTGAAAAATTACCCTATGGGGGAGGGGGGGGTGGAGAATTTAAACAAGAAAAATCAATCTTTTCAGTGACTTGTGGGCTGTGATGATGCAATAGGCAGCCAGCTTTCCTGTCTGCTCAGTGGTCAAAGGTTTCAACCCCTTAGATTTTCATAAAAACACACCAAGACTCCAAATTCCTTCTGCTTCTTTTCCTCAAGTCTCAGGGCAGGATGTCAGAGAATTATAATGATGCATTTCTTTTTAATTACATTTTGGAGAAAAAAAGTCAGATTTGTATGAGGCAAAAGTGTTGAGATCTACCTTGTCTGATCTACACACAAGAGAATCTTTACCATTGTTAGACTTGTGTCACAGGTCGGGTGGTGTGTACATTTTAAAGAGGGGATAGAAGAAGAAGAGAAGATATAAAAGTAGAGAGAGACAGACGAGAAGAAATAATAGTTAAAGGATGTATAAGAGGACAATAGGTTCTCCTGTGTGGAGAGTGTAGTAATAAGTCTACACCCCAAACGATCAGGTAATGGTCAGTGGAGGTCTTATAGAAGAGAGAGTAGATATATAGTGGAGTGGTGGTGGTATAAAGACTACAGAGACTAACAATAATAGTACCACTCCTATACTCAACAATCTAATAACGATGGAATAAAAGAATAACAACTAACAATCATGTTTATTCAGAAACAGCATTACAAAGTCGTCTATCTCATGTTACACAACCAACAGATGTTATATTATGTTATAAACAGAACGTCCTCACACTATAAAACTCAGCAACTGACAGCCGAATCCACTCAACGATAAACTAGCAAATGACACCTAGAATATCCTTCATTGCTCTACAAATAATAAGCCAAATAACAACTACAATCTAGCCATCTACTCTAATGCCAAATACCGACTACCATCTAGCCATACTGCTGATTGCAGTCTAGATACCATCTAACTATAGCCAAATACCGACTACCATCTAGCCATACTGCTAATTGCAGTCTAGATACCATCTAACTATAGCCAAATACCGACTACCATCTAGCCATACTGCTGATTGCAGTCTAGATACCATCTAACTATAGCTGATTGCAGTCCAAAGACCAGCTAGCCTATTTAGCCAAACCGGCACACAATGACAGAAACTGCCATGTCACATAACATGAAGCAATATTTCGTGCATTATCTGGCAAGTCACAAAACAGAAGTATGGACTTAGCTCCATCGTAGCGACATGATCAGAATGCCCACAGCATCCTTCGTTGGCGGAGATCTCAGTGCAAGTGTCTCTGTCAGGGCTCACAGTAGTGTATTTATCCCTGATGCTACCTCTCTCCTTTGTCCTGAGTTTATGAACCTGTGTCTTCTTAGGTCCATTAACCTTTCTCTTTCCCGCCAAAGATGGTTTTCCAAGCCACTTTGCATATTTGGATGGAAAATCCCCAGGAAATCTTGTGTCGTTGCCTTTGTTCGTTGCCCTGCCTCTGTTAATTTACGAGTATATTGGCCTGCAACAGTTCATGAACAAGCTTGGCATGCACCCACGTCTTTGTCGACTCTTGAGTCAATGCCCTCAGGGTTGTTATACTAGCGACCCTCTTTATCTCAAGCGACTCTATACCCCCTTATTCCTCCGTGTGTTTCCTTCCTTCTGTTTCCTTCTTGTGATAAACGTGACTGTAATCAGTACTGTCACACTTGTGTGTGCAGGGCTAACATCTACTGATGTCCCCCAGTCTGAGGTGATCATCCCTGCCAGCAAAGACTGTTGTCTCCCAAATTGAGGTGATCTTTCCCTGCCAGCAAAGACTGTTGTCTCCCAAATTGAGGTGATCATCCCCGCCAGCAAAGACTGTTGTCTCCCAAATTGAGGTGATCTTTCCCTGCCAGCAAAGACTGTTGTCTCCCAAATTGAGGTGATCATCCCTGCCAGCAAAGACTGTTGTCTCCAAAATTGAGGTGATCATCCCCGCCTGCAAAGACTGATGTCTCCCAAATTGAGGTGATCATCCCTGCCAGCAAAGACTGTTGTCTCCCAAATTGAGGTGATCTTTCCCTGCCAGCAAAGACTGTTGTCTCCCAAATTGAGGTGATCATCCCTGCCAGCAAAGACTGTTGTCTCCCAAATTGAGGTGATCTTTCCCTGTCAGCAAAGACTGTTGTCTCCCAAATTGAGGTGATCATCCCTGCCAGCAAAGACTGTTGTCTCCAAAACTGAGGTGATCATCCCTGCCAGCAAAGACTGTTGTCTCTCAAATTGAGGTGACCTTTCCCTGCCAGCAAAGACTGTTGTCTCCCAAATTGAGGTGATCATCCCCGCCAGCAAAGACTGTTGTCTCTCAAATTGAGGTGACCTTTCCCTGCCAGCAAAGAGTGATGTCCCCCAAACTGAGGTGATCATTCCTACGAGCAAAGACTGTTGTTCTCCAAAATGAGGTGATCATCCCTGCCAGCAAAGACTGATGTCTCCCAAATTGAGGTGATCCTCCCTGCCAGCAAAGACTGATGTCTCCCAAATTGAGGTGATCTTTCCCTGCCAGCCTACACTGTACAAGACATTGTACCTGTTTAACAGTCCAGACATCTTTCCGTTTCTCAAAGTTAACTAGTGTAAAAAAAATTTATTATAATAATTTGACAGTTGTTACATAAAAATTATCCAGGTAATCATTTTCACAGCCAAAAATAAAAAATAAACTATAACAACATATAAAGACAAACATACTGGATTCAAACTATATCAATAAGTTCAAAGGTTAACCTTTTTGTTCCAAATGACCTGTGATCCTCTTCATGGGAGTCATAGTAGGGGTCATTGAGCACAGGTCCATCCAGAGAGTCATCCAGATCAAGCCCTCCCTTCCTAGAAGAAGACCAGCCTCCTCTGCCTCCAGCTCCCCTAGGAGCTACACTTCCTCGGGGACCTCCTCGTCCTCTGCCTATGAAAAGCAAATGTGACTGGTCAGTGTAGACATATGAGGCTGGGTAAACCCAGGGAACCGTCCATGGACGGCAGCAAGTCGCAGCTGGATTTGAAAGCGAGTCTCCTATTGACTGCCTGTGACGTGTGATGTTCGCTTGATACACCACACACTTGCCAAGTATCTAAGTATGCTCAATAGTGTTACAGTTACAAGTCCCCACTCCCGCCCAACAGCAATAGAGGACGCTGGATACATGTTGAATGTCAAAGTAGATTTAATGTATTTCAACATCAGGACAATGAAAGGCATCACGAAACATGATTTTCTATACTGCCACAGTCATTCTCACTAGCAAGGCAACACACACAGGGGACGATCTGGGCTGCCACCCTATGTTCCGTGGTTGCTACGGGTAAACACTACCCGCTCGTGCAAATCCACTACTCGTGATTATGTGACTGTCTCTCTGACACCCATCACTTGGGTACACTGTCACTAGAAAGATCATACAGGCCGATGCACAATACCTTGTGAAGATTATCCAGACCTTCCGTCTGCGGCCGGACACGTACTTGAGATCTCCTGATCTCACCTCACGAGCTTCCGTCATGCTCGCCCGGCCACTGTAGCAACTCTCACAGACAGCCTGGACACCTAATGCCAGCGTAACACACAGGTATGCAAGGCTAACCTGGAACCATCCAGTTTAGAACATGCCTTCCACCACAGCGTCGTAGAGTCAACGGTCTCTCTCTTTTTTTTTACATCCTGTTCAATTCTGTACTGCACCGCACCAAGTTTTACGTTCATTACTGCACTTCCCTTTTCATATACCCATATATTGCACACAACATCGCTCTAAGAAGGCTGGTATTATATTGGGCCAACCAATCGGCCCATTCGTCTTTTTGTCTGCCCGATAAATCGGCCGCTTGTCTTAAAGGGTTACTAGCTGCTCTTTCTAAGTTACTGACCACTTCCCTCGTACGTGTCATTCATCTCAAAGATTAAACTGTACAACTGTATGCTGTTAGTAAGTCACTGGGCAAGTTTTATTTTTTTTTAAACTTATACTGCAGTCACAATTATTGTAATAAAATGGAATACATACAAGAATCCCGGACAGTCTGAGGACATTTATCAAAAATCCTGGCCAGTTAGAGGATATTAGGAGAATCTGGACAGTTAATGGATATGCTGATCCAGGTTTTTTCGTAATATCATCCCCAGCTGACGTCACAGGACAGTCTAACACTTTAGAGGATGGTGAGACTGGGTTTCCCGGCTTTCTGATGTTTTCAACGACTTCAAAACGCCTAGAAATGGCCCTCACCCCAACTCACCTACGACCCACGAGAGAGTGCAGCCTAGAAAAGAAAAGAAGAGTCTGCACAGCAGTCTGCACACAAGTAAGCCAGATCTGTAAAACAAGTATGCATGCGAAACTCAAGTTCTGAAACAAGACCGAAGTGAACAAACAACCAGCACTTCCCGTCAAAGTTTAGAGCTGGTGAATGCTAAGAAGAAGTTGACGATATGCCATCCACCTCAACAATTTCACTATTTTGTGTTACATCTATTTCATTTAGTTTCAGCCAGTTTGAATACACATTTTGCATGTTTTGTTGTGTTTAACATTAACAATGAGACTGTGCTTACCTCTTTGACCTCCAGCTCTGTTTGCCCGTCCTCCTCCTCTGTTTGGCTGTCCTCTCTTCCTGCCTACACTCCGGTTCATAGTTAGCTTCTGTACTCAAATGCCCAGTGATCTAAGTCAATTCATTCGGACCGACTAAGACTTGTGTGATGATCTATACTTCTCTTCCAATGATGCTGAAATTCTTCAACATCTTCAAGCATTAAATTCCACTACCTAGAATCATCTGTTGTAATATGAAACACATTGTGTTATTTGTTATCACTAAAAGTTCTGTTTAGTTTCTGTTAACCCACCCAGCCCTGTGACCTAGTTAACCCACCCAGCCCCGTGACCTAGTTAACCCACCCAGCCATGTGACCTAGTTAACCTGCCCAGCCCTGTGACCTAGAAAAAAAACAGTGTCAACAATCTGTAATTAGGGCATATTGAAATACTAGGTTTAAACAAACAAATTTAGGAAAAAAACATTTTTAGATACTAACCACACACAAAAAAAATTATTATTCCACTTATTGACTAAAAAATTTTTTAATTCCATACAGACAATGGGAAGTTATCAGTTAACAAGAATGCAGCAGAAGGATTACCTGGGTCACATCTCTGTGGGTATTTTAAAAAATTATTACAGGATGACTAATTTGTATACTGTGACCTGGTCACAGGTTAACACAGTGACCAATTGGAACATTATGTCATCATGTGTCTATCACCTGGTCACAGGTTAACACGGTGACCAACTGGAACATTATGTCATCATGTGTCTATCACCTGGTCACAGGTTAACACTGTGAACAATAGGAACATTATGTCATCATGTGTCTATCACCTGGTCACAGGATAACACTGTGAACAATAGGAACATTATGTCATCATCATGTGTCTATTACCTAAGCACAGGTTAACACTGTGACCAACTGGAACATTATGTCATCATGGGTCTATCACCTGGTCACAGGTTTACACTGTGAACAATAGGAACATTATGTCATCATGTGTCTATCACCTGGTCATAGGTTAACACTGTGAACAATAGGAACATTGTGTCATCATGTGTCTATCACCTGGTCCCAGGTTAACACTGACCAATGGGAACATTATGTCATCATGTGTCTATCACCTGGTCACAGGTTAAAACTGTAACCAACTGGAACATTATGTCATCATAATGTGTCTATCACCTGGTCACATTTTAACATGGTGACCAACTGGAACATTATGTCATCATGTGTCTATCACCTGGTCACAGTTAACACTGTGACCAACTGGAACATTATGTCATCATAATGTGTCTATCACCTGGTCACAGGTTAACACTGTGACCAACTGGAACATTATGTCATCATCATGTGTCTATCACCTGGTCACAGGTTAACACTGTGACCAACTGGAACATTATGTCATCATGGGTCTATCACCTGGTCACAGGTTAACACTGTGACCAATTGGAACATTATGTCATCATGTGTCTATCACCTGGTCACAGGTTAACACTGTGACCAACTGGAACATTATGTCATCATGTGTCTATCACCTGGTCACAGGTTAACACTGACCATTTGGAACATTATGTCATCATGTGTCTATCACCTGGTCACAGGTTAACACTGTGACCAATTGGAACATTATGTCATCATAATGTGTCTATCAATAAAGCCATTTTTTCTTGGAAAATTTCTCTAAATGCTGTTGTTTTTGTAGAATATTATATAATTATGTATGTCTGTCCACAGCCACGTCGGTCTCCTGCACTGTATTACTACACTTCTTCCAGTCCTGTTTCTACACCAGGTTTTCCTCCATGCCAAGATGTCAAACTGTTTAGCAACATTCCAGTTTCTCTGGGGCCATCCTGCCTCATGTCCCCTCAAACTTTCTAGCTGTCACAACGTACTCATTCTCCCCTTCTCTATGTGTGCCTAACAATACAAGTTGTCTATGTAACCATCTCCATGAGTTAGTTTCTTTCAAATGATCTTCTTTATGTGTTTATAATCTATATATATAAAAATCAATGTTTGTGTGTTTGTTTCACCCCTATAGACTCAGAAACTACTGAACCGATTTAGCTGAAATTTTTAGGATATGTTTGTTGTGATACCGGATTTTGAACTGTCGTGGTTTGAAATTCAACCTGTCACTGTTAGAGATAGGTGACCACAATTTATGCAATAATATACGCAACTAATATTTATAACTTTAGTGATTTTAGCCACGTTAGTAATTGCGCATGCGCCGTATTTACCATTCGCCGGCGAGTTACGTGCAGCCAACGCCTTCTCTAATACTAATACATAGAGTAGGTCGTGGTACAGCAAACAAGACTATCTCTATATTTGCCACAATAACCATATTTAACACGATTTATATTTTCTGTTTTTTTTTTTCAAACAACCTTCGATGGAGGGGGGGGGGGGGGGGGGCAATCAAGGACTATCTCGTCGTCGGCGCAGACAGTGACTGCGACATTAACTTCATTAACCGTGTTAGACACGTGCGATTTCTATTTCATTAATATATCTGGAGTATCTGTCTACGAGAAAACAATTGCCTGCGGTTTTGAATTGTGTTTTAATCGCGACACAGTAGTAGGGACACACATGTCTAATAGTTGAGTTCTCTTTTCGTTGATCCGATTAAGTGGCTACTTGGTCGAATGGTGAGAACACTGGGTTCATGTGCGGTAGACCTGGGTTCGAATCCGCAGTCGTTAAATTTTTTTTTACCCCGGACTAAAATAATATCCTCATCTGCTCTGTCGTGGTGACAGCACTAGCCACGTTGCCTTAATATTAAAAAAAAAAACAAAAAAACAAGTAAATGGGTAAACCATTTGATAATTAAATTTGACCATTTCGCATACTTATGATTGCATTGTTAAACTTTCCGATTGCATGGTTACGCTGAAATTTTATAGATTTTCATTTAGATTTAGTTATTTCATCTGTGTTGGAATTTTAAGCTGTGCTGTTTACAATGGCGTTCATTTCCTAATTATGGTGTTTTTTTTCCTGTGTTCGTTTGCTTTTCAAGTGTTTTTTTTTCTCCCAACTACTTCAATGAGTGAAAGAGTTGTCGGTGAATTTGGGGGGAGGGGGGGCAAACTATTAACTGAGAGTGCTTTTAAGTCACAGTAACTGCTTTACCCACTTAAAGTAGCAGCAGCAGTAATAGTTGTGGTTGGGCTGATACACCATAGTGCTCTCATGTGAAGACCGCCGGTAAGGTTATGGCGTTCTTCTGTCGGCAAATGAAATTATACATCCTAACCTGACCAGTCTGTGGCGACAGCACTAGCCATGTGGAACCAAATCTTCTGGCTCACGACTCTCTGTCTACTCCGATGGTAACACAGATAGCAGTGACATTATTTTAGTAGTTGTACTGGTACTTGAAGGATGATGTTGTAAATATTACACTAGCCCTATTCACTACCTTTTATAATTCCTGCTCCCTATTTTAGTCCAGATGGACAGGGATGTCAATGTCAGTTACAGCAACAACAAAATATCGCCAGTTAGTGATTTTCAAATCCTTCGAAGAGGGAGAGAGCAGTAGTCGGTGGAAGAGGAGAGGGGGTAATGACTTAAATTTAAGAGAAATTAAAGAGCTTTACACTTGATATTTCAAGTTCTCATTGCCTAATTTGTTTATATTTTACTAACGCTACCTCCGCTTTTCTATTTTTTACGACTTACTTTGTTATTCACAAGTACAGTTGTAGCTTTACTTCCGTCCCCTATAAAAATACAAACAGCTTTAGCATGTGATAACCAAATAACCATTTTTGTTACTGTGCTAATAACACCATTTAAATGACCACTAATATAAAGACACAATTATATGGTGCGTGTTCTAAAGTTGGAAAACCAGACTATCTATATATATAAAAATCAATGTTTGTGTGTTTGTTTGCCCCCTATAGACTCGGAAACTACTGAACCGATTTAGCTGAAATTTTCAGGATATGTTTGTTTTGATACCGGATTTTGAACCATCGTGGTTTGAAATTCAACCTGTCACTGTTAGAGATAGGTGACCACAATTTATGCCATAATATTCGCAACTAATATTTATAACTTTAGTGATTTCTAATTATAGCCACGTTCGTAATTGCGCATGCGCCGCCGTAGTCAGAACGCAAGGCTTCCGCCATTCGCCGGCGAGTTACGTGCAGCCAACGACTTAATACATAGAGTAGGTCGAGGTACCGCAAACAAGACTATCTCTATATTTGCCACAATAACCATATTAAACACGATTTCTATTTTCTTTTTTTTCAAACAACCTTCGATGGCGGGGGGGATCAAAGACTATCTCGACGTCGGCACAGACATTGACTGCGTCATTAACTTCAGGTGCGATTTCCATTGTCTTTCTTTTCTAAAAACCTTTGATGAGGGAGAGGGTAGTAGGTGGATTTAGTTGTGGGGTGGGGGGGGTGAGGTGGGGATCAAAGACTATCTCAAATTACGCCACAACAACGCGTGGCCGGGTACAGCTAGTATTTATATAAAACTAAAACCAAATCGCCGCATCTTTTACGAGAGTTCTTACTAATCTGCTGTCTGTGCATCATCCATGACTGCGACTCATTCGTACATTGAAGCAAAAAAAGGCAAGGAAGGATACGAAAGATAAAACGGCGGTATCCGGTATAAATTAAAAGGAACAGTCTTAGAGAAATTAAGATCAACTTATCTTATGCAACGCATCTGAAAGAACACACCGAAGATTGTTACATTTTCCCCCAACACTTCGAATGGGTAATTAGGGGAACTCATCAAGACTATCTATGATGGATGATTGATGTATGAATGAATCACAGGCTAGACATTGTGAGGGCCCTCTGGAAGCGAGTGAACAGCCATAAGCGCAGACAGATCATTAGTCTTAGGAGAATGGCGCTGTGAGAAGTTACAAGGGGATCTGGCCAGCGCTCAATCTGCTTGATGATTGATAGATTATATCAATCACAATAATCAACAATGACAATAATTTGGATTTGGCATTTCATTTTGGAGAATGGTGCCGTAATGATAAAATAATGAAATGATATTAAATTGATAATCATTGGTAAA